AGAAAAAGCTTTCCCTGCTCGGTGCTGCACCAAACAGACTAAACTTTGAAGGCAGTAATTTTCTCAAGTGGGCGTCTATTGCACCCACCGAGTACTGTGTTACCTATCTGCCTTCGGACTGCCCGAGCTAGACCTACTAAAATCCTCAGGGCAGTCACTTTTCCCGAAAACGTATTATGTTACAATCCACACCAATGAATCACGCTCTTTTTAATTTAGACTTAGTGTCGCGAATATCCGAGTTCGGACCTGTTTTGTTTTGGTCTGGTTCTTATTGAAAGGCAAGTTACCAGTGCAGTCACTGATACCTAGCCTGTGTGCTAATAACCTAATACCTCTCACTTTTTAGTCTTTCTTTCGTCTACCTAAGTCCTTCAATAAAATAATACCCCTCCGGATTGGCACAAATAGGACCCTTCCGGACTAATAGAATTTAGACCCCTCCGGATTGGGAGCCCTCCGGTTTTGTAAAAGTGGCTTTTCGGAGATTTCCTTTTTTCAACCTATACCCCTCCGAATACGTTCTCCGATGCAATTATGCTCTTTCAATTAACTGGGAAGGGTATGTACTACCTTCCTAGACCCTTCCGGATTGAAGTTAAGCCTCCTATTTGACAATTCACACTAACGGTGAAGGGTCTTATTACTCGCCTAACTTCGGCTCGATTAAGCTTTTGCTGTGCCTTTAGCCTTCCCTTTTCGTCTAGAACAACCTAACGTTACTTTATTCAACCGCTATTACCTTTTGGTAGGGGTATAAGGGCTTTTCTAAAAATTGTTGTAAAACGTGAAGGGTGTACCCTTCCAAATTGAGAAATTTGCTAAAAACAATCTCAAAAAATTTTCACGCTTATTTTTCCGAAAAATTTCTGACCCTATCAGTAAGCTCAGCTAATTTCTGATCTATTGGTACCAAGATCAACTCGATATTCTCAGTAGTTCCAAAGTTATTAACCAAAACGACGTCTTTTTTCTAAACTCAAAAATTTTTCTCTCTTATAGGTTCTGCCTAACTTTTTCCGCAAATCAGGTCCTTTTGACTTAAAAATTATTGATCCGAGCTCAGAAGGCCTATACTCTTCTAGTTCAATGCAAAAGACCCGATCTTAAACGCCTTTGCTGAAAAATTTTGCGAAAAACTATGCTACCTGTACCCCTCCGGATTGATGAATCCACCAAATCAAACACGTTAAAATCGATTTCTCTGCAACCCGGAAGGCTTTCGGGTAGCGGGTTTTAAAACTTGTAGATTCACTAGTGGACGTTGTCCGAACAACTGTTTTTGCTGTTGTAACTCAAAAATTTCAAAAAATTTTCTGAATTTATAGTGTTTCGTTTTCTCAAAAATCACGAAATTTCGATTTTCGGTACCCAAATAGTTCCAACTACTCTCGAACTTAACTTAACCGGTTCTATCTATTATGGTAGTGCAGTTACGATGTAACACACTAACTTAGCGCTTTGTTCCGTTTCAAAAAATATCGATATTTCAAAAATCGCGACTTGTGGGGCAATCAAAATATCGCTATTTTGACCCTAAAAACCGGTCTGTTTTCGTTGTTTTTCACTGAAAAACGATATAAGACTATTAATATAAGCTATATAAGTAATAATATTAGTAATACTATACCCCTCCGGGTTTGTTTAATATGCGAATTAAGGTGCTTAACTCAGATATTCGCAGTTCGGTGAAGGGTCACTACAGTGCAGCACTGTCGAGCCCCCCACAGATTTCTATCTTAATTTTTGTACCAAAAGGGCTACAAAACTTGTTAACGATACCCAACAGTCGATTGTTGTCGTCGTTGAGCCTCTTCTTGTTGCTCCTTGTACTGCTTGCCGGATCAGTCTTCTCCCAAGACCCTTCCGAATTGAGCGCAAATCAGCTGACCCTTCCGGATTGAGCGCAATTTATCATTAACGTGCTTAAATGCTCAAATAACCCTACAGTACAAGCCTCAAAAACGGGCTACAAAACTGATCGTAACGATCCTGACTGATATAAATGCCTGTATGTAACAACAATATATCTATCAACAACAAACGGGGGGGTCGGATCACATCTTGTCTGGGGGGATGATTTCTACTGATTTTTTTTACTTTTTACTGTTTTTGGTTTTTTCGGCAATTTTTTATGTTTTTTGTTTTTCTTGGGTACTATACTACTTTTTGTTTGATTTTACTTATATCTTTAAGTGTTTTTGGTCACAAACCACTCAGGGGATGAGGGGTTCGCGATTCCCCCCACCCTTCCTGGTTCGTGAATTTTCGGTCTTAACTAGGTTTTTTGTTTCGCTTTTTTCTCTTTTATCTGTTTTTTGTCCCCCTAGTGGCCCCTTACTCGGTTAGCTAGGCCTCGTATCGGAAAGAGCACCGGGAAATTTTCTCGAGTTTTCCTAAAAAGCTATCACGGTACAACCAGAAGGTGGACACGTTCTCGTTGAGTCGTACCACCGATACTCTAGAATTGACATGTAGCCCGGAGCTGTGTCAAGTGCGTTCGATCCCGTAGTCTTGATGTTGTAAAACCTTCCAGGAGCGCCAGAAAACACTAAGTAACAGTCGCCTACTAAAATTACATATTAGGCTAAGAATGTAACATTCGCCCGGAAGATACATATCGACGGAAAACAAAACTAAGTCTTAAGACGACTGGCTAACGTCTAAACAGAGCTTTGCATGCTTTTCACCGTCTCTACCAAGCCAGTACTTTTCGGTGGTCTTTTCTAACATCGGGTCGACAAAAACGTTACTGCTTTCGGCTTCGGTCAAAACACTCAAATTAACTAGATTACATGCAGAAATAGTGAGCTCATGGCTGGGTCTCAGTATCCCCAGACCACGAGGTCACTCCTAAAAACAGGGCTACTACTATTTATATTATTATTGTTTTTGTTCAGTAGATAAAATCATCATCTCCATCGAAGATGGATCAACCCTTTCCCCCAACTCCTAGCTTCTCATCCCTATCAAAATGAATCCAGATATTAATTAAATTCAAGTCAGGACATGACAGGAAGCTAAAAATTTATGCAACAGGATAAAATTTTCAATTCCTTTACCCTTCCGGATTGATGAATCCGCTGGATCAAGCTCGCTAATCCTGATTTTCTCTTAATCCGGAAGGCCGTCTCTCACCCTTCAACGTTGTTCGCAACGGCCTTGCAACTATTGTAGCAGCACAATAGTTGCAACTCGGAGTGTTCTTCTGTTACTCTGTAACTCGTTGTCGTTTTCCGATCTCAATTTCGTTGTTGTTGCTAGCGCAGCTAATGTTGTTCTCTTTTTCTTTTTCGTTTTAGTCAAAATGGCCGTTTCTGACGTTTCTCAGAAATATGACGTCATAATTCGAATTTTTGAAATTTTAAAATACCAGAATATTCTAGCCCTCACCGTTTGGCCAATCGTTCCAATAACGTTCTTAATTCTTAATAATCATCAATCCGGAAGGCTTACTGCTAAAATTTCGAAGTCTGCATAAATTGCATTTTGGCCATTCTGGTCGAATGTCACAGAAATATAGGCCCCAATGACCATTGGCTCAAGAGTCAGGGACACTGTCTTGTGTTTTTGCTTCTCATTCAGTCTGAGCCAATTCGGTTTACTTGCGACATGAGACTGCAAATCGTGTTACAGCTTAAATGCAACTACCCAAATACCCCACACTCTAGAAAGAGAACGCCCCCATGGTCAGGTCTCTTGAGACCTAAAACACGCGAACGCCCTTAAAAATAGGTTCGGAAACTTGAGTAAACCGTTAGTTTTTATTGGACAGTGGACCTTTGATCCATTTCAGATTGATCAACCTAAAACTCGCCTTATCTCAACATAATCACATAAAACGCACTCAAAAAATTTAAACTAGGACTCACATTCCGACTCGTCTTCTAGAATTGGGTAAATAATAATTGCATAGCAACTTTAGAACTAATAATAAATAAGTTTTTTCTCAAGATTCTCTTTTGACCATTGCGCAGCTCCAGCTGTCCACCTCAGTCAAGTGTCACTCTTGTCCAGTCATTCGGTCTACTTTACATCTTCTCCTGAACTCTTGATTTTCTATCAGGAACAAGATAGCTCTATTTTTCAAGCGACTTTCCCGAAATTCTAACTCGAATTTTCTGTCCTAATTTCTCTTGCATTTTCAGTTGTCGCGAGAAACCCGAGCTTGACAGGATCAAGTCGAGTTTTTGAAAAATTACTTTTATCTCAAAACAAGACCAAACTTCCAAACATGACCGACTGGCACAGATTCAATTTAAGATTCTACCGCTGTCACTGTGTCGTGAACTACACACTCGCTGCTACTGCATAAAATCATTACTGGCAAAACAGATCAGTCGGACAAATTCATTTTATTTAAAGAAAAAGGACAAACAAGACATTAGCTTAAGGAATATGAAGCACAAAATTCAGACTTCAAAAATCTGAATCGAATTAAAAGGGAGTCACTTCCCTTGGATACTTCCTAAAATCTTTATTATTTATCTTTTTATGATGTCTACTATACTGGTGTTTTTTCAGATTGCGCATGATGCTGAGCGCTGATTAAGATCTACAATTTTTCCTGAGTGTTACCTTGATTTATCAAATTTGAGGTCGAAATGTCATCAGTTTTAAGTTCGGAGGAGATCACTCTGAATCGATTCCGAGATTACATCAGAATCGAATCTTTCATTAAAAAAGGAATAAATTCGGAATGTGTGCTTTTTCTTCAAAATTGTTGCACTGAGTTAGGATTCTCGCCGATTGTCATTGAAATTGAGTCAGGCTTTCCAATTTTATTTTTTTCTTGGCAAGGGTCAGACAAAAAAGCAACATCACTTCTTTTAAATTCTCATTACGATGTTGTTCCTGCTATTGATGACCTGTGGTCATATCCCCCTTTTGGTGCTCAAATGAACGAAAATGGAAATATATATGGACGTGGAACGCAAGATATGAAATGCGTCGGAATGCAGGGAGCTTTTTGATGCAGAATTTCAACATTAATGTATCGAGTCAAACTAGAATTAGGATTTTTAAATAGACAGTTCACTAGAAAAAATTACCATGATGGAAAGGTCCCGCGTTGGCACTTACACTTCTTTCGCAGCTAGCAATTTGACAACTAAATTGTATGACTTATGCATTTCAAAATCCTCGGGAAGAGTGTTTATTTAGAAATTTTTCATGATGTTATTTTCATAATGTTTATTATAAGCTAATTGCTTGCTGGGTACGCTTGCGATTAGCAAGTGTTATCAAACTAGAAGATAGACTTTTTTCTAGTTAATAACTCACTTCTTTTCAATTCTCTTCTTGTCTGCTCTGAAAATCTTCCAGGTTGCTTCCCACTTGACCTGGAGGTAAAGCAGTTGCCGTTGTACCCTAAGGTCTAGGGTTCGAGTCGCGGCCGGAGCTTGTTTTTTTTCAGTATCAAGGAAATTGAAAAAAAAAGTTCCGAGAAAAATGAAGTGATGGTTTTTCGTTTGCCGCAACGGATTTTGCTTGTACTGTAGACAATTTTAAGTGAAGTTACAGATGCGAGTGTTGTTCATTCTAATTTCAGGGGGCTGACTTGAAAGATAAAAAAAAAATTTTTTTCAGCCTTCATGGTATCGGCTTATGTTTTTTGGGCTTAGTGATCTTTAAAGAGAAAAATTATTTTTGTGCCCCGCTTTGGAAATACGCAAAAAAGTACAACTCTTAGAGTTTCAGAGCTTTTTTTCATGACACAATTTGTTTTCGGCTGAACAGGAGTTTTCCCAGTTTTTTTCCTTCGTGGCAGCTCGCTTAATTTTTGTGAGTACTCGTTTCACGCTGGTGATAAAAGTCAAACTGAGTATCAGTCGAGAAAAAATGTGAATTGTGGAAAACAGAATGAGCATAATGAGGAATGGCAAGTTTATGCTCAGTTCATAATGGATTCAATTTTTTTTGCAAGTACATTATCATACCAGACAGTTTTTTTGTTGTTGTTTTTTAAATATTTTTGTTCTCATTTTTTGTTGGCTATCGTTTTCTTTCCTGCTTCTGCTAGCTTGCAAGCTCTGATTGGCCTCCTTTTATTTTTTCGAACCCTTGGCTTTTGTTTCTATATTTTGTCTGCTAACTTGCATTGCTATATTTGTGTGCTTTGTAATTTTTTAGTGTGCGCGAAATTAGTTATACTAGCTTTCAACAGATATTCCTATGTTAAGCTCAAATAATGGCTCATAAACTGCTATTCACCTCTAAGTAAATGTATGAGAAACGGTTGAACAAAAAACTATAATGAAAAAGACCTAACGGTAGAAGTGCAAGAAGCAGAAATGGTTCCTATCGTGTGGATTCTGATTGTTATACAAGAAAAAAAATGCGATTCTTCTTTTTTTCTAACCTAACTCGCAAATAAAAGTTCCTTTTTTGGTGGCTTTTTTTTGCTATAATCACTATCTGTAGCATTGGAAATTTCATAGCATTTGTTCTCTGATTTATTTGTTCTCTGTGTTTTTGAGTAATTAAGCGTCCGTGGCTTAGTGGTTAGTGCGTGAGACTTATATTTTGTAGGTCGAAGATGGAATCCGAGACTAGCCGATACTTTTTTTATTTATTAGGCTTACTTCTACTTTTTATTGAACTTTATAGAACTGATTTTTGTCGTGTTCTCGTTAATGTTTGCGAAGCGCAGCTTTGCCTCTGTGTCCATAATTCGTAAGTCATTTGTTCGCTAGCGGGCTAGGGAACTTCAAGAAAACATTTGAACCTTTATGTACTGACTCTGGACACCATATTTGCTTTTTTCTAACGAATTAAGGCATGAAACACTGGCATGATTCTGGACGGAGTAGTTTTTCTCTAACTAAATAAGGTATTATCAAAATCGTGTTGATTATGCGCACTAAAAAGTTCCCTTTCTAGTATCTCGAGGCTTTGTTTCGCCTTAAAAAAGCAAATTTTTGTCCGAAGAGATCAATACACGTGCTCTTTGTTCCCGATGAAGAAACTGGAGGGCAAAAAGGAATGGTTTCTTTTTCGAAAACTGATATTTTCAAGTCTTGGAATGTGGGGTTTGTCCTGGATGAAGGCTTAGCTAATCCTGGACACGAGTTCCTGGTATTCAACGGCGAGCGTTCTATTCGCACTCTTTTCATCCATTTCAAAGGGAACGCTGGTCATGGCTCGCGCTTCATAAAAAATTCGGTCGGTGAGAAGGTCACTAAATTTCTTCAAACCGTGTACGAGTACCGACGGCAGCAGGAGTTGAATCTAGAAGCAGGTGGATCTTGTATTTCTCTTGGGGAAGTCAGCACTTGTAATTTAACTGGAGCTCACGGAGGCATAGCGTATAATGTCGTACCAGCTGAATTTGAATTGACGGTTGATTTCCGATTGGCGACTGATGTTGAAATCTCTGATTTTGAAGCTATGTTAGATGATTGGGTGAAGCAGAGTGGAGATGATGTTTGTTGGCGATACAGGACGCCAAATGCAGTGTTAAAGGAGCACTCGAAATCGGAGTTGAATGCTGACACGAATCCTTTTTGGAGATCGTTTATCTCAGCTTGTGACAAACTTGAAATTGAGACTAAGGTTCGAATTTTTCCGGCGGCTGCTGATAGCAGACATCTGCGTCATATGGGCTACGATTGTATTGGTTTTTCACCGATTAACAACACTCCAGTACTGTTGCACGATCACGATGAGTTTTTGAACAAAGACGTGTATTTAAGAGGGATCGAAATTTACGAGGAAATCATCAAATCGTTGTCGTCATGTTGAATATCCTTTTCTAAAGTCAACGTTTCACCTGAATAGCTGGAATCTTTAAAAGCAACTAGATGAAATGTGTACGATGTAAATAAGTTGTCTCGTTGAATTTGATGTTATACTTGTTGATTTTCTTTTTCACTGGCTATATCTTGTTGTTTCGATCAAGCTTTGTATTCCTTTATGTCTTTACGCGCAAAAATAAGGCTTTCCAAACAAAGTGACTTATCAAAACTTCGAGTGACTTATCAAAACTTCGAGTAACTTATCAAAACATCGAACTATACGAGGCCTTTGAACTACATCAAAATTTAGTCATCATTTTTATGATGCCCTGAAATTTTCGTTGCTTGGACTAAATTCACTACTAATTCACGGGTGAAGGTTCGGAAAAAAAGTTGAAGAAAAGTGTAGGAATAAGGTTCATTTTAGTTCTATTTACTCGCACATTCTGAAGAATTTTCAAATGGAATTGAAAATATCAAAACTAGAAAATATTTCGTTAATAATTTTTTCAGTCATTTTTTGATCGTTTTGAAACTAAAATGAAGGAAAAGAAAATTCGAGCTGTTAAGTTGGTAGTTGCTTCACAACCGTTTGTTTTGCTATTTCTCTGCTGTTTTCGAAGACGCGAACTTCGGTTTCAGATTTGCATGCCTTTTTCGAAGTTGAAGCGCACCCATAAATACGACGTGTCAGTGAAGAATGCGCTGCTGGTGGTGGTGGAGTTGCTGGACCAGAGGGAGATGGAATGCAGTGTGGCCAATGACTCATCCGCCCAGGAGTGCGTGAACATTGTGCTGAACAGATTGCAAGTACACGCAGAGGGCTTCTACTTCGGACTGCAGTATCTCAACAAACAGAAACACAGGTAACTAAATTAAAAACTAAATACCTTTCGATTAAGCCCATTTATCCACATGGAAAAGGACTAAGCTACGAGATTCAGCTCTTTACGGAGAACTGCTATTGTTTCCTGATTAAAAATGACATGCTTTTTGGATTTTTTTGGACTGAGGTTTGTCGCCTTATCAATTCCTAATTGTAAATCGTATATCAGTTTAAGCAGAAAATCTCAATTTTTCTCATTTGAATTGCGAGAGCAAGTTACTTAATATGCTTGCGATTACGAAGCGTTATCAAAATGGAATTTAGTTGCCAACGATATATATGAAAATATTTGATAACGGCTTTTTTGATAAAAAACAAAATGACTTGAATCTTTTTACACCTCGGCTCATATAAAATCAAAATCAAGGCGTTAATCCTCGCATGTGGCGTAGAGGATAACTTTGGAGCATGTCTGCATTTTGAATGCTCGTTCTTTTCAAAACCTGTCAACTTTGATTTCTGTATATCATTTTTAATCTAAGTTTTCCTCTTCAATCGGCTTAAAAGGTATTGACTGAAATTATATTGGCTTAACGGCCTCTGAAAAACAATATTATATCGGCTTAGCGGCCTCTGAAAAACAATTTCAGCTTAATTTCCAGGAATGCAATTACTTGTGCAAGTAGTGTGCACGTAATTGCGTTCCAAGAAATTAAGCTGAAATTGTTGTTTGAAATTTCTTCATAATTTTTAATTAAAGTTTGCATGTTTTTTTTGAAATTTTACATTTTGTGTTTGAATTTTTCTTTTATTTGGAAGAAAGCAAAATGTAGCGCCTCAAAAGTTTCGAAATTTTAATTTTTCTCTGATTGCGCTAGTTTGGAAAAATTGTATGTCAATATTTCAATTTTCTCCTGCGTAAATTTGCATTCGACTGGCTTGTGTTTATCAAGATTGCTTTTATGAATCATAAGGGTGAAAGAATGGCTAAATTGTGCCTATGTATTTTACGATTGACTCTTTTCCCACTGTCTGTTGGCTGTGTTTTTTTTCTTTTCTCAGAAAAGAAGTTCTTAAAATTTGTTCAGGCTCAAATTTACTTTTCCAGTTTGACTTAGGAGTTCAGTTCATTTCCTTATTTTATCCAGGTTAGTTTTATCATATAAATGTAAATCATAAATTTTTCTAGAAATTTACAGAGTTTTAAGGCTTTATATTTTTTCTTGGAAGTTCAATAGTTGAGATTTTTCAAAAAACAAGTCAGTTTTTTTTTCTGATAACTTGCGTTCATTGACTCTTTTCCCAACTGTCTGTTGCCTATGTTTTTGATATTAAGTAACGGCTTTCTTTCAGGTACAGGTGGTTAGAATTGGACAAAAGCCTCAAGAAACAACTAGATAAAGCGGGATCAGTGTCGAGCCATGTTCTCAGATTCGGTGTCATGTACTACATTCCCAACATAAGCAAGCTTCAAACCAAACAAGCCAGACATCTCTACTTTCTACAAGTGAGAAAACTCATCACTGAAAACTCTTTCAATTGTTCCCTGGATGCAATTTGTGTACTGGCAAGTTACTCACTTCAAGCAGAATTTGGAGACTTCAACCCAGCTGTACATAATGTCAGATTCCTGCAGAATTACCCAGTGTTTCCCAGCAAACTGTATGGAAACGCCCCAGACGAGCTATTTGAGAAGGTTGGCAAAACATCTGCGATGTTAAGTTCTCAAATTTAAAAAAGTATCTTGGTGTTTTTTGAGGTTTATAGGCGAAGAAAAATTTTAGTTTATCACATGATCTGGATTAAGAAACTCAGAGCAAAGATGGGTACCTCAAGAAAATTTACGTTAAACCTTAAAATCTTTGGAAGTCGCACGTTTATTTATTAGATGCTGTTTCTAGCTTGCAAAAAATATTGGACCCTGGACCATACTTGATTTTTGCAGGGATCCAAATATCATACTTGAACCAATGAAATTAACTGTTTCTGGATTCAGGTTCTGAAGCTGTACAAGGAGAGACATGGTTTAAGTGGAGATCAGGCAGAGCTGTGTTACATGACTGAAGCGCAGCAGATAGAAGATTACGGAGTGGAATATGTAGAGGCCAAAATGGACAGGACCAAGGAAGACGTTTCCATTGGTTAGATCATTTTGTCACTGCGAAAGTCTCCGCTTCTTAATTGAAAGGTCGGAGGTTAGAGGCCCAATATGCTCTTTGGTTTTTGCTTGAGGCTGAGGCGACATTATCCAGCTCTGAAAAAAGCCAAAAATTGCATGAAAAGCTTAACCAGGGGTCGAGCAGCAGTTTTTCGTAAAGCCCTGAACAGCCCGTATGTTGGTCCTTTCTTTCCATCGTAGATAAATCGTTTTTAAAGAGCTTTCCATCGTGGATAAATATAAATTAGTACCAAATATGTGGTTCGTCCAGTTTTTTTTTTCGATTGAATGAAATAAAATATTGGTAAGAAACAAAGTTTGACTCTATCTATCTATCCATCTATCTATGCATATTTAATTGGCGTTTTACTTGACAGATGTTTAAGAAGTCCCTATTTTGACATGATAAAAACATATGCAAACTTTAATCTGGTTTATTGAATTCAACGTTTTAATATTCCAAGGTCATCTACGATTCTAGCCATACATGTGTTGAAGCATGAATGCTCCAACTACAGTTTTTTCCTTCTTTTGACAGGCAAATGCTTAGGGGTTGCAAATCTGGCCTCCAAATATTACTGCTCAAATCTTTTTGGTTTCCGAGATATGGCGTTTTTTTATGTTTTTTTTTAAATTTTTTTTTTAAATTCAGATCAAAAAATTTAATTTAAGTTCTCAAACCTTCTAACTTCTAAAAATTTTTATAAAATTCTGAACCTTATATTGGGGTGCTATCAGGGTACACTCAAGAGTAACAAATCTTGCCTTTAAAAATTTTCTGTTCAAATACTTTACGATATGGCGTTTTTTCAATAAACGTAGGTCTACAGAAAATTAGCAAAACTTGAAAACGTCAATTTTGTGTGAAGATGCTTTGAGGGTACGCTATGGGGTTGCAATGTTGCTCTTCAGATATGACTGTTCAAGTCTTTTCGGTTTTCGACAAATGGGATTTTAAATTTTTTTTTTTCAAAAAAAATTTAAGATTTTAAATAACAAATATGAAAATCTCAACTCCTATGGTAGGGTGCTCCGAGGTTATACTATGCAGTTGTAGTTCTGCTCAATTTTTTTTTGTTTTTGAGATATGGTGTTTTTTTCAACTTTTCAAAAAACTCAGATCAAAAGAATAAGATTTTAATTTCTCACGCGCATGGTAGGATGCTATCAGAGTAATCTCACAGGTTTCGAATTTGGCCTCCATTTATATTTTTGTTTTTCGAGATATCGCTGTGTTTTATAATATATGTATTTAAAAAAAAACTATGATTAACGAAATAAAAAACTAACAGAACTTGAAACTCAACTCGTATAGTTGGGTGCATCCTGGGTTCAGCATTGGGTTGTAATTCTCATATGTTTACACTATTGGGTTGCCCTCCAAATACGACTGCTCGTTTTTTTTGGCGTTTTTTGTTTCTTGGCGTTTTTTTTGTATGTTCATTGTTTATCTTAGATTTCAAAAGTTAGATTTCAAAAACTAGATTTCAAAAACAACGAGCAGAACTTTAAAGTCTCAATTCTATAGTAGGCTGCTATTGCGTTATACTTAGGGTATGCCTATCTAGCCGCCAAATGTTTTCTGCTAAAAAAGTTTAATGATATGTTAAAGAAAAGATTTGGAAACTCTTAACTCTGTAGTTGGATGCTCTCAGGGTTCACTAAGGGGTTGGAAATGTAGCCGCAAAATATCAGTGATCAAAATTTTTTTATCAGCGGAGATATGGCGTATTTTATGATGTTTTTTTTTTAAATAAATTTAGAAAAAAAAACTTAAACCACTTGAAGTTTTCAACCGTATTTTGCGGTGCTGTCAGGGAAATCCTAGCCCTAGAGGTTACAAATTTAGCTTGTAATTGAACTGGTAATTTTTGGAATTTTGGTTTCCGAGTTATGATAATTTTAATTATTTTTTCGAAAGTTTTCGGTGAATTCAACTCAATGAAAATCTGATTGATGCTAGAAATTTTCAACTTTAAAAAACTATGAAAAAAGCAGTTTTATGCTGTCGGCTTTTTAGAGGGTCCTATTTTCGAGATGATTTTTGACATATCTGATAAATCCTAGTAGTTTTGGAGACGTGATAGTTTTGTTGAAAATTAACCTAAAAGTTGACTTATAAGTAGAATAAATAGAAAACCTTGATGGATGGGCGCAATTGAAATAACGGTTGCACTAATTTTTTTTTTCGTATATAATTTAAGCTTTTTTTTTACGTTGAACAATTTGTTGAAATCACCGTAGGTGCATGAAGTCATGCGCTATTTTGAGCATAATTCCTGTTTGTTCATTGAACAACAGCTGTTTTTATGATTGGTGCCTAAATGCCGTATTTGTGTCAAAAACATACTTATTTTTAATGATTTGAATGTGAAAAAAAAGATATCATTGGAAATGAATACTAATTGAAGTGAACATAGTCATTAGACTAAGATGGAGTGTTTGTAATTTTAGGAACCAGTTCGGTTGGATTAGTGCTGCGCTTCCGGCCACAGTCATCAGAAACAGGCACTCACAGTGGGGTAGACGCTGACACAGTGGAGAACAAACAGATGATCAGCTGGTCCAAAATCCACCAGATGAACTACAAGGACACTTCCTTTCTAGTGGTCAGGCTGGACAAGTCTGAGATGAAGTTTACTGTCAAGTCAAATGAAGAGTGCAGATATCTGTGGGTGCGAAGCATTGGAAATCATCAGGTCTGTCAATATGCTGCCAAATTTAGTTGCCTGATTGGAAACGGTTGGGCGACAATTTGTAAGAGGCGATATTTTAGAGCAGGACACTATTTGTATCATGGAACCGACAGGGCATGCGAAAATCCCTTCATTTAATTAATTGTTTTTATAGCAGCTTGCGAAGAATTTTTGCCCTTAACAATAATGCGGATCGATGCTCAATGCTAATTGTTGCGGAACAGCTGTAACCACGACCATAATATTCATTTATTTCAAAATACAGGATCTATGGTTTACAGTGGGTTTCTTGAACAGATTTTGACCACCTTATCGTCTTTTCTGCGATTCGCAGAGAATATATGAAAAGTTGTCTAGTTGCTGTTTTTCCCCTTATTCCAGACTAAATAAATTTGTAGGGGGTCTAAGGTCAGTGTGGTAATGTTATTAAAGCCCTATTGGTAGTGATTCAGATTCCAAAAAATTCTCAGTGTCGACAAAAACTGGTCAGAATATCTTCAGGTTGAATGAAACGAAACTTGATGAGGGACTGACCTCTACGTTTAGTTCTAGTTTATTGTTTTTAAGCCGATTTTGACGACCTCAAAGAAGCTGCAAATTTTCAAGTTTGGTATCGTAAAACTTTTTTCGGAATTTATCAGTGACTCGCATTCATTTTTATCATTTCGGATATCAGTGCCATCAGCTTCACGGTGTTTTAGTTTTCAAATTTCCTAGCGGATTAAAAAATTACTTATTGATCAGAGTTTTCTCAATTTTTATTTTCTCTCAGAGTTTAATTTTATCAAAAAAGTGTCAATTTTAAATTGTTCTAAAAATTCGAAGAGCTTAAAAAGGCCATATGGTGTTTTTCTTTGAAGATCCTGGTTAAGGATTTATGAAAAACAATTTGGTATTTTTTCCATGCGTTCATTGACTGTTTTCCAACTGTCTGCTGGATATGTTTCAAAATGCTGGTAGATCTAGTTTTTTTTTCGACATCTTTGCTAATTGATTTTTCTTAATGGCTATCGTCTCAATTTCTGTCGGCTACTTAGCCATGCTATGATTAATTTGTAGTATCGCAAGTAGTGCAGAGCTCCAATTCGCCTATGGGTGTGATTTGTTTTAAAAGGATTTTGCAACTTGCTTATGAAAATAATTCTTCAGTTTTTCTTTTTTGCAATTTTTTTTGCAAATCAAAGAGTTTTGATGTTAGCTTGCTATTTGGTGCTGCTGATTTTAACGTGGTTTAGTTACCACGTCGGATTCCTTCGATGACAGTGCTGTTGGTAATGGATTTTGAATCGTTAGAATAAAAAGGGCTGTAATCGAACTTTGAAAAGGCTCGGTTTCGAAAGAGTTCATTTAAGTTTGAGTTTTTTTGTTGATGTTCAATCGAAACCATTAGGTTCTTGACATAATAGTTTTAAGTGTAACAATGATAAAAGGTCGGATCTGTATATTTAGATCTATCGACAAAGCCGCAAGCTTAGTTTGGCGGCGGCTTCCTCTAGAAGTGAACCTGGGACAAAAACCAGTTGCTACAGTTGTGTCAAGTGAGGTGACAGTATCCCCTAGTGGGAAACCAGAGAGGCAGTTTCAAAAGAATGATGCTATCACTGCTTCTCCCAGACACATTCCCAAACACGGGTAGGGGACAGGAGTCTATTGGATGGTGGAATGTTTCGAAGAACTAAGGGATCTCTTTAACTACCCCTCCCCCCCCCCCCCCCCCCCCCCCCAACGATACGTAGTAACAAATTGCCACCACTATAAAGAACTAATTCAAGCATATGTGAATTTTGTACCTGGTAACGAATATACCTTTTTTGCTAAAGGGGAAATAGCTAAAGATATCCGAGCGAAGTTTCATCTATTGCGCATAGTACCATTTGGGTTTTGTTTGGTTAAGATCTCCTATGAACAACGCAGCTTCTGGTTAATCAGAGCTATTGAAACATATTGAATGCCCGTAAAATTATGATGATCAGAATAGTTATTTTCCTGATGACAATTAAGTTATGATTTTTCAGTGTTCCCAAGAGCAACACACTCGGTGCTTTCGGCCGACAAGACTCGTCCATAACGCTCAGTCCCAAGAGTTCCACTCTACCCATGGCCGACAAAGCAGTTGAGTCTCCGTTCTCACTGCGATACAGCTACCCAATGGGAGACGACAAAAGTAGTTCAAACGACACGAGTGGGCCTCGAAGCGTGACTAATAGCAGTTCGCTTAATGAAAGTGGAGCCTACGATCAACTCAGCTTCACATCTACTATGAGAGTAAATAGTGAGAATAGAAATGAAAAGACGAATGAAAACGACGAGACGATGAAAAGCCAGCAACCGAAAAAGGTAAGTTCAGTAGATTTGGTTTCAATTATTTTTTAAGAGTCGATGAACATAGTTCAGACTCTCATAATGGTTTTCTTAAAGTTTTTTTCGGGAAATCTTTTTCCGGCTCAAATTTATTTTTTCGTGGTTAAACTGTTTTTTTTCTTAAAATTTCTGTTCATTTTCTTTGTAACAAGTAATGCGCTATCGAGCAGCGAAAATTTAATGGTCAGAAAAGCTAAAATCAATTGAGTAATCTCTCATCGTAATGACCAAATGAGTTATCTCTTCCCAGACAAAATAGAAGTAATTTATATCGAACTTGAGCAAAATTCAAACAAATGAATAGCACATATTGGCCAGTTGAGGTGTATAGAGAATTAAATTGTTATTATGTTTTCAAATGCTCTCGAGCCCAATCGATCTCTCCACACAAATTCTTGAAAATATTAATGCAGGAAAACTTGTCTGCATCCAAGCATGCTTTTGGTTAAGGTCTTTTTTTTCGGTTCCATAAGGATTGCACTGTTTGAGTGTGTGTCACATGGGTTCCATAAAAAATCACCGAATGATTCAGTTTTATGGGCGAATCTCCATGCCTTGAATTCCTCGATAAGCTCGCCATTCCTTGAATGTATGATTGATCCAGTAGGAACTACGCTCTGGATAATTGGAAGGGGCGTTGCAGCGTTTCTTCGTTCCGCAATTTCCATCTAATCATTTGACGGTTTATAGCTGGTATCCACAATTTCAAAAACCCATATAGGTTGCTGCGGAATTTCAAAAAAACCTATATAGGCCGAAATTTCAAAAACCCAATTTGAAAAACCTGTATAGGTCGGTTTTGAGCGCAATTCCTGGTCAGCCAAGCTCAGTTGGGTTATCGAGATGTTGCCGGCAAATTTCTCGGAGTGGGGTAAAAGCGTCGACAATTGCTCTCTCTCTCTCTCTCTGTCTCTATTTTCGAATTGATTTTATCGTTTAAACTATTTTCGAATTGATTTTATCGTTTAAATCGACGACACTTCCGATTTTAGCATCTCCAGCTAAATCCGTCTTTGGTTTTGTGATAACTTGTCCAGTTTTGAGGAGTCTGACAAGCAGTTAACAGACAAGAATTTTTTAGAAGACTTTTTGTTTCAGAAAATTTATTGCTGAGTCATTGTTAAAGAGAGGAAGCAATTTTTGATAATCCATTCTCAAAAAAAAAAATCAATTTAGTTTGAATTGGTTTGAACTACTTTCACGCGAAATAAAAATTTTATCTATTGATCCAGTTCTCTCAAATTTTGTTAATTTTTGAATTTTTTCAAAAAAAAGTCAGTGTTTTCTGTTTACTTGCGTTCATTTACTCTTTTCCAACTCTGTTGTCTGTTATTTAATCTTACAAAAATAATTTACAAATAAATCAATGTTTTTTTTTAGAGTTTCGATCCTTCTGATCGATTAATGAACGCTTCTTACACAAATGATCGTTGTAAAACTAGATGAAACTCGATATCAGATATGATATCTCCGCTAAGTTTCGCAGTTTTTTTCCTGTTTCAGCAAATACCTTCTTACGATCATTTTATGGCAAACAGACCTTTGTTCCAACAGAGAACACAGCTAGACTATGGAAGTATGAACGCCTTATATGAGAACCACAACAGACTTTTGGTGTCTAGTTATCCAAACATTTCGACCAGCGAATATCCACAATTTTTTGGTGGACACTACATAAACGCGCGAGACTATGGACGCAGAACACCACCACGTCACGTGATCCAACACGATAGGCATTCTTCGGTTAATAATCCGCTGAATGTAGACTCGAATCGCTACAACTACTTCGATAACCTAGCGGCCTTAGGAGAGGAGCAACGGGAGGGTGAAAGGCGAGAAATCACAATGGGTGGATGTTTGCATTGTGGCGCTCATTCGGCAGGCGTTCAGCAGTCAACTGTAAATAGAAATACTTCGCTATCGTTCAGTAGAAACAGAGAGGAACATTCGTCGTCAATGTCACCTCACGAGTCGCCGCTCCATCACGCAGTGAGGTAAGAACTGATTTCTACGGAAGAGATTTTCATTTGACAGTTTTGACGACCAATAAATTTGTTTTTTCTTGTTATTTCCAAAAAATTCGAAACGCAGTTAAAGGGTTTTTGATGCCACTTTTTACTAAATTTTTTAAGGTTTTGTGAAGCCGCTCAGAGCAATATTGACTAGATGACAAAGATCGACTTTTTGTTCATAGATATTGTTCCATCATTAACTTCATCTTCTGAAAGTTTCTATACTTTTAGCTCTCCTGAGCTTAATATAAACGGCAACTGTCCCTGCCAGGGTCACGTGTTTTCAAACGGCCCAACTTCTCGTGGAGCTCATGGATACGACCAAGAACGTAACCGTCCTGGGAGTGAACAACTTCGCCGACCAAGCTGTCAACATTGCAATAGACAAACGGAAGCGACATCTCCAGCTAGAGAATATCGAAACACGCATCAGGTAATAAAAATAGATGAGGAAAAAGTCAAAGATTTTGCAAGTGTTGTGCTTTTAGTTTCGCTCAGTGTTATTTTAGTGTGAATTGAATGTAATTTTTGTTTGTTCGCAACTCGTTCTAATTTGCTTGCACTATTACACCATAGGAGATACCTGGTCATCGTTTTCTCTTAATGCAAGTGCTAGGAGATGACTGTTTTCGTAAATAGTTTTTGGACCCAATTTAGTTATTTGTTCAATGAGATAAAAGCAGCGATTTTTTTTGCTTCTGCTTTTTTATTAAGAGACGGAGGATTTTCTATATTTCCAGTTCACAAAAAATGATTTTTCGCTCGTGGCGTTACAAATTTCCTGGGTGCGGGCATGATTGGCAAGTTTTTTTCTATTTGCTTTTTCTATTTGCTATTTGGTTTGTCAACTTTTGTCGTGACTGTGCTGTGCTTTTCAAGTGTATCAATAAGCTGATCATTTTCGGTTTTGGAACTTGAGTGGGTCCTACAAGTTGATATTTTGAGTATACTCAGCTCTTAGTAACTTTATTCCTTCATTCACTCGAAATAAAAATCATGAACCGATTTTACAAGAACCGGCTCATTTTTTGATGGTATGAAAAACTGGAATGAAAACTGCCATGACTCGTGTCATGAATCATAGTGTTTTTGGAGGACTAGAACGATTTGTGTATCGTTTAGAATACTTGAATACGAGTGTTTTTTGTCAGATTTTAAGTGTAAAAGAGCGATGTGACTTTCATTTATATTGGTTGTGATGTTTTTTGTTTTGACGATTTTCTGTCAAAAGTTTTAATGTTCTAATAACTAGAGAAATGCATTCATACATATTAATGCATTTTGGAATGCATTAAGGTGTTAATGCACTTTTTTGTTCAATTCAAAATCATCCGCTAAAAGTTAAACAGTTAGCTCCGTAATGCAATGTTTTGATTGTATCGCAAGTGTTGCGCAGCCTCGCTTCACTTTTTTTTTTAGTTTTTGATTCAAACAGTTTTTACTAAACTGAAATTTCTCTTATAGTTTGTAAATTTAGCAACTTTTTTCGTTTAAACGAGTTTGCCTTTTGTTAAATCGGCCTAGACAATTTATGATGCCTCATTTTAAGGCTCGTTTTTAAATGATTTCGTCTGTTTCAGTATGGATGGTCAAAGAAATTTTTTTTCGTAGTGTCATTACTGCAGCCACATTTCTTCCAAACTAAGTCGCAGATAAATGTGCTCATTATTTTTGGCCTTTGCTTTTTATGTGTCTGGGAAACTTTTGCTCCATCGCATTATCTTTTTGTATCTGACTTGTTACTGGCTATTTCCTGTTTGATAAAAAGTAGATAATATGAAAATTTATGTGATTTTTCTTTTTTTGAGACGCTTATGGATTTTTTTTTGCAGTTCCCTGTTCCCAGAAATTTCAGTTTTTCTCGATTTAGTGTGCCAATTTCCAAAAAAGTGAAAGTTTGGCGATTTTATTCCCTTGTGTGCTTAAATAATACACCTGTCTCATCTCTACTTCACCGGGCGTTCTATGACCTTTAGTGACCTATGAATTTTAGTAGGAGGATTTTTTGACTGATTTTTTTTGGATTCTTTTCTTTTTCGGGGAAATTGTCATAAAAAGCCAAGATTCAATTACAAGAGTTTGTTTTGGGGATATCAATTACATAGGGAGTTATACAAAACTTTTGATAGAAAATTAGTTTTGGTTTTAGCAAATGTCCAAATTTTGACCTTTTGGTGTTTTTTGGAAGCTTGATCATTTTCTGGAAAAATTCCAAATCAGATTTAATTGAAAAAACACTAATTGCCTTGAAAATATACGAATCGCTCCGCTTCGCCTATATTTAGATTTCTCAGTAGAATAAAAGTTTACCTATTGCTCTAAATTTCTTAAATTGGGTCAATTCAATTTCATCACAAAAGTGTCAATCATTGTGTTTTTAAAATTCAAAGAGCCTTGAAAAATTTTTTTTGAAATGCGGGAATTGAAAATTGTTCAACAGTTAGAATTTTTTTCGGGTTCTTGTTCTTTCAAACTTTTCCAGCCTTCTGTTGCTATGATTACCCTTGGAATCAGCAGATGTGTTTGTTTCAGCCGGGTTCGAGCCTTTCGTTCCCATAAATAATTTGTCACAGGATAATTGAAATTGGTGGTCATCTCCAAATCTGCATTTTTGTCAGCTAGCAGAAAAATTTGGAGCTTGTCTTCATTTTAAATGCTTGTTATATTCGATTTTTTTTGTGTTGGTTGTAGATATACCTACTTTCATTTCAGAATATCATGTTTTTGTTTCTATCTTTTTATCGGCTTATAATACATCGGGTTTGCGGGCTCTTTTTGAGTCGTTTGTGGGAAGCAAATTATTTTTATCTCGTTGATTTGAGGGGGAAGGTGCCTCAAAAGTTTCTTGACTTTTCAAGTTTTTTTTAAAAAAATGAAAACTGCTTTTTTTCGGCGCAACGTGTGTATGCTCAAAGAATTGTCGGTCTTGTTACCGCTTTTTGTTTCGCTGCCTAACATTAATTTGTCTACCTTCTTGGCGTGTTTTTTTGAAAGGAGTTCATTTTGCAAAATAAAGACAATGATAGGAAGTTTTGTGTTAGATCAATTTCTTCGTGTCTTAAATTTTTTTTGGTTTTTAACGGCTTTCATCTATATTTTTGTGGGTTGTTTTGAAAAAAAAAAAATCAAATGCTGAAATCTGATTAGTTCAAATTAAATAAGAATGTTAACGCGTAATTTGTGCAAATCATTCAACAGGAAAATGATGCGTTGTTCACTTGTGTTTGGTGGAATGAGTAAAAAGATCTTTTTGGCGGCAAGTATAACAAGAGCTTCTGAATCGACTAGTGTTGAACTCTGTTTTTCCAATCCGAGTCGCAAATAAAAGTTCTCATTTATTTGGCCACACTATTGCAGCAATAGCATCTGGTTTACTTTTGCTGCATTAGTCTTATATCGGCTTGTGTTTGCGAGAAATAATTGTTATAAGGTGGACCTGATGTTATGTATCAGAGTCAGAATTATATTGTTGTGGACATGTTTTTTTATTTATCCAACTAATTGGTTTTCTAGGAGGATCCTATGTTGCAACAGACGCATTTCCACCCTCAGCCCATGTACTCCAACTTCTACTCGAAGAAGATGTTCATCAGCACTCCTGAGTTGTACCACGGACACTCCGTCAGCAATGTCGAATCCACTGTTGCAGCAGCAGCAGCGAACAATAATGGAGACGAAAGAGGAGGAGGTTATGATCAAGGAGTCAGGAAACGACACTCGGCTGCATTGACGTCGAATCAGAGGTATTTGATGACGTATAGAAAACAGTCGGAGCCTTTGCCACCCGTCGCTTGGCACGGGAATGGAAGAAGTCACAGACCAAATGCAATGGGTTAGCTACGCATATGTTTACTAGTTATATTTATTAAAATTGTTGTTTTTGTTCTTTACACAAGCAAAGCTTGTGTGATAGTATGAACTCTTTGTGTTTCCAACCTAAGCCGCAAATATTGTTGCGACAAAATGTGTTCATTTTGAAACTTCATTTTTATCAATAACCAGCTATTAGGTACAGCCAATGCTAAGGATATTAACACAGACTATTATATTACAAATATCACTTTAGCTTCAAGTTATCATGGATCTGTAGCGTAGAGGTAGGGAAGAAGACCTGCAGCAAAATAAGAGGGTTCGAAGCTGGGCAGGGTCGGATGAACTTTTTCATGTACTAGTTAAAATGCGTCCACTCTTTAAATTGATGCATGTTAGTTGATAAATTTCTTCGTTTTTTCAAATTGACCGGTACTGCCAATGCGTCATAATTGGGTTGCGTCACTTAGCAATTATGTAGACTCATAATTGGCGTGCGTCAGTGAAGAAATTTTGTAGACTGTAAATTTTACTCACTCAGTTTTTCGCAGTAGCGTTATCGGTCATTTTTTTGTATGCGAAGTGCAACTTCGATGCTGTGTAAAAGTTTCTTTTCTGGGCAATTTTTATCTAACTTTGATCGGCATTTCTTTAGTCAATAATTACACAAGCATAGCTTGTGCTATAGTATGAACTATCCTTTTTTTCCAACCTAAGTCGCAAATATTGTTGCGATGCAATTGAAAGTCATTTTGAAAGTGTTCATTTTGATCCAGCTATTAAGTACAGCCAATGCTAAAGATATGAACACAAACTATTATTTTACAAATATCACTTTAGCTTCAAGGTATCATGGCTCTGTAGCGTAGATGTAGGGAAGGAGACCAGCAACAAAATAAGAGGGTTCGAACCTGGGCAGGGTCGGATGTTTTTTTTTGTATACTAGTTAAAATGCGTCCACTCTTTAAACTGAAGAATGTTACTTGGTAAATTTCTCTTTTTTTTTCAAATTGACTGGTACTGTTAATGCGTCATAATTGGCTTGCGTCACTTAGCAATTATGTAGACTCATAATTGGAGTGCGTCAGTGAAGAAATTTTGTAGACTTTAAATTTTACTCATTCAGTTTTTCCGAGTAGCTTTATCGGTCATTTTTTTTGTATGCGAAGTGCAACTTCGCCGCCGTGTAAAAGTTTCTTTTCTGGGCAATTTTCATCTAACTTTGACCGGCATCTCTTTGGTCAATAATAAAAACGAGTTTCCGTCCGAATACAGGTCGTAGTTGCTGTACCAGGAAATATTTTCTCAGTCTTTTGAGTATCCCTTATACGTTGTCGTTTTAAGATCGAAGCTTTCCTGCTTTCATTTTGATAACACTTAATCAAAGCATTGTGTCGTAGAAGAATAATAGGGCAGATAAGATGCGATGTATGCTTCGCTTTCTGTTTCAATTACTTTAGAGGTCGCCACATGGCTTGATTTTAATGCACATAGTTGTATTTTTGAAGCTATGGTTGTTCCGCATTACAAATATATACAGCAGGTAATCATCATCTGTTAAAACGCTCTTTCACACCTTTCCACCTCTATTTCTGTTCGTTATTTATCCCAAACTAATGGAATTGTATCTTCCATTTTTTACTCGTGCTATTTTTTTTACTTCTATTCGTGCTATTTTTTATGATGACTGAATTGTTTTTAAGCACCTTCTGAGCATCATCAACCTACGATGGGAAATTTGAGTAGCAATGCAAGACCGGTGTCTCCGCAACTTGTTTCACACAAGTCGTTCGAAAACTTAGCCGATACAGCCGAAGTTCAATTTGCAGAATCAGTTGATAAAACTCCTAGGTCTAGTTTTAACCAGCAGCCAACGGATTATCACACGGCACCGGTACAAGTAATTAGCAGTCATCAGAAGCTATCAGTTGCTGGAAACAACGCGAATAATTCAACCTGGAGTATCAGTCCGCTAGCTAAGTTCAAAAGTACAGATCAACTGGATAGGTTCAGTGATTATGATGGTGATACGCATCCGTACAGTGACCCCGAAAGACTGGAACTTCGTCGGAATAACCCAGCGTTCCAGGGTGATACGAGACGTAGCTATATGGAGAGAAAATTGATTGAGGGTTCGTTGCGACATGAGTTCGGAGCAGTTCAGGTTATGAAAAGCACTGCGAAGTTTTCAGTGGCCAAGATGAGTGAAAATTACAACAGAAATCGGTTTTCAGAGTGCCTGCCTTATGATGACACGAGAGTGAAATTGAGTCCCTGCAGGGAGTTGAACAATCATGTTGGATACATTAATGCCTCTTGGATCAAAACAAAAATAGCGGGAACCACTTTCAGATACATCAGCACACAGAACCCATTGGATGGGTAAGTCCGTTAAATGATCATTTCTTAATTTTGAGCTTTAGACCGAAATTAGGCTTTGGCTTGTCAATGTTTCCCGTTGTGAAGAAGTCCTCAGCAGAAGAATCGTTTATTCTAGCAGTAAGCAGTTTTAATTTCAGTTGTTTTAGCATTTTAAAAATCTGGCTAAATCGAAATTTGCTTTTCACATTGGTTGTAATTTAACCAGCTCGATTTGTTAAAATTTCACTTTTTTTCATCTTTTTAGCGGCTTTATAAATTTCGGCCTAATTAATATCAACTTAGTGGCCTCTTATTGCGTCATTACGTCCGAAAAAAGTTCTTGCGCGCGCGTGTGTATTCTGACGGGAGAAGGGATTTGACAGTTTAGAATTTTTCTGAATTTCTTTTCAGCCTGAAGGGTTTCTTTAGTTATGAATTCGAATCCCAATAACCATCCGGCGCATCTGGAGTAGAGGTAAAACAACTGATTGAGATGGTAAATATTTGAGGTTCGAATCCGGCCGGGCCCTTTGTTGCAAACTAGAGTTTTTGTACTTCTTCGGATTATCGTCCGTCTGTTTTTTTTGTCGGCTAATTTAGGTAATTGTCTGTCTGCTTTTTTTGTCTGCTTAGTTGTTTTGAAAACTTGGCTTTTTTGTAGAGTTTCGAATGGTGTAGACAATTTTGTTCCGGATATTATGGGCTTTTGTCACAATTTTCATTGACAAAAACGATTTTTTGAATTTTTCTCCGTTTGATTTTCATAACATTCATATTTGTAGCGCAAGTGGTGAGAATCTCAGCTTCGCCTGTGTCAAAATTAGAAATGGTAAATTTAGGTTCAGTTCCTAATTAATTATTATTTCTTTGTGTCTCTGGCACTTGGTCTGGAGATAACGAATACGCCTGGGACGGCAAAGGTCCTAGGTTCGTGTCTCACAAGACCTGTTTTTTTTTCAAATGGGAAATCTTCCATTCAGCTCATTATTTGTCCGCTTATGTTGTCGGCTTAATAGTCATATTGTAAATTTTTTCTTATATTATAGTTGCTTTTACTGCTCTGATTTATCTCTGATGTTTGTAGTTTTACTAACCTTGACTTATGTTTTCTCTTTTTTGTGCTTAAAAATTTTTCTTCCGAATTAAGTTCGGCCTTCTTTTGTTGGCTTAGTGACCTAATTTTGAGCTGTTTCAAAAGAATCAGATTTTTACGCTCACCTCTGGATCGCACAAAGTGCTAAAAATATTCATAGAAATTCTAGTTCAAATTTTTCATGACAACAATTTTGTTTTTTGTTGATTTTCCTTTTTGGCTTGTTAGGTTTTGTCCTATCGGTTTAATGACCATATTGCGTCTTTCGACGAGCGGAAAAAGTTTTCTTCCGATGCACATTCCATTCCATTTTCTTGGTATTTTTTTCTTTTTTAATTTGCAAACTCATTACAAGGCCAAAGTGGGTTGTCGCACAATTTTTGTGACTGTATGTTCCTGGATTCCAGAGACAAGTCTTTGAACATGTTAAAATTTTGTCGGAACAATCGAAGAAACTAAACATAAGAAAAGAAAAACAAAGGGAGTGTCCTTGTTGCGGAATCTGCACACAATTCACAAAATGCACAATTTGGCCTCGTAATGACTAGCCTTAGTTTTTGATAGATCTAGTTTGATCGACTCTTTCTATTTTTTTTCTGATTTAGCGGCTTTCTTGATTTGTATCGCAAGTGGTGCGAAGCTCAGCTTCGTCAGTGTCTGTTGGCTATTTTTTTCTCTATTCTTTTCAAATCTGATATTTCTTTACTCTTGTGATTAGCAAGGGTGCTCCAACCTGTCCTAGACTTTCCCCCTTAAACAAATTTAATATCAGACTGGTCAATATAGTAAAAATTGTAAGCATGCTCAATTTCTTAAAATCATTAACATAACTACTCTCTTTTGGGTTAGGTAAAGTTTAGGTCGAGTTCGTTTCAGGCGGTTATTTTTTTCAGTTAAATTTTTGAACAAATTTTTTCGGGTTCGTGGTTTTCGTCTGGGTTTCCGTCGATTCTGTTTGGATTTGAACTGAATAGTCTGATTTTGAATAATTGAGAGTCATGAACGTAGTGAATACTGACATATAAATCTTGCTGATTTTTTATTTGGTTTTTCGCGATTTGACTTTCGATTTCCTTTAAGTTTACTTCATTTTCTTAGTTGAAGGGAAGGAACACTCCGCTATCGATCACCAAAAGTGTCAAGGTCACGAAAAACGTGAATGAATTAATTTCGAAAGTTAATTCTAGCTCTCAGATTTCCCAGCTGAAAATTTTTATACCAATTGATCCGGTTTTCTCAAATCGGGCTTATTTTATCTAAAAAGCGTCAAATAGGTTTTGTTCTAGAAAAATTCAAGGCCATAAAGCCATGAATTTTTAATTTTGAAATTTGCAAGTCTGATTTTCTTTTTCCTTGCGTTCATTACCGTTTTCCAATTGTCTGTTGGCTGTTTTTTTTGCAGTCTTTTTTGGTTAAATGGTTTCTGCTTGCAATACATCGGCTTAGTCAACTTTTATTGCGTTGTTTTGCGTTTCAGTACCGGTGGGTCGTAAAAAGAGATACAAAAGTTTCTGGCTCAAAAAATTTTTTGTGACGAGTTTCAGGCGCAACAGGGGTCGGCCCAGTTTTTGTTTGCCTTAGTTGCCGCTGGGTAAATGATTCCCAATGTTTCAAGGGCTGTTTATGAACATCATCCAATACGAACATAAACTACGTAAAAATTACCCCTAAAAATATCCAGTACTTTTTTTCAACTCAATTTTTCAAAATAAATCTATGTATAGTTTCTATGGTTGAGCTTCAAAAGATAATGATTTATGTATATATGTATGAAGTTTATGACAGGCGTTTCATTAAGATGAAAAAGTTTATTCTCTATTGATTACGCTTGCGATTAAATCAAAGTCTGATTGAATAGAACGTGTGTGGACTTCTGGCAGATGGTGTGGGAGAAGCAAGCTGCCCTGATAGTCATGATGTCCCCCCAAACTCCTGGACAAGACCCCCATCCTCACCCCACGAACGGACAATGGGAAGGGGATAACGACACAGAACATACAATGGACACCCAGTCCAGCTACTGTGCCAGGTACAAGCCATACAAGGCTGGAGAGACGGTGGAGTTCGGATATATTTCAGTGAAGGCCGAGAATGTGCAATTGACAGAATATTGTATCGCAACTACTCTGAAGGTAAGACTTTTTAACCCAACCAAAAAATTGAATAAAATGTTATTTGTGATGCGTTCGAGAATGCTTGATTTTGTTTTAAAATTTCTTGGCAGTTTGGGAGTTCTGCCTATCTTGGGAGTTCTATTTATGAGAAGTGTTAATTTGATTTTTTTTTTCAGCTAAACAACAGACGAGAGATGGAGAGCAGGGTGGTGTGGCATCTGCAGTTCCTGGAATTACCCCTCCTCCTCCCTCCCAAACCCCCCTCTCAGTCGCCGAACAAGGCAAAGCTACAGCACCTCTCCTCTCCAGACCTCATATCCAAGTTCATCCGATTCCTCAACGAAGTCAGGTTTGTAGTTAAATATTTATTGGAAGAGTTCTTAACGGAGCGAACTTTCTAGGATTTTTCCGAAGTCTTGTTGCAAATCTTATGCTCTTAATTTTGGAAACCTGGGAGAATATCGAAGTTCCTGACGATTTGTGTCCGTTGCTGAAGGGTGATGCAACCTTTCTCAGCTCATGAAAAAAGCTAAAAATGCATGTAGATTTTTATATAACTCAACAGCGGTTCTCCCGTAAGAGTGATTCGCTGGTTAGTTATTCCTTTTTCTAGTGGATAACTGATTTTACGAATCTGTTCCTGGCATTTTGTCGAGCATTGTAAACCTTGACAACATATTTGATTCTAGGTCGATCCGGCAACACTTGCGTGAAGAGGGAATCGACTCACTTCCTCTGGTGGTCCACTGTGCTACTGGGAGTGGAGGTAGTGGCGCATTCATGCTCTCCGAAATCATGCTCACCCTCATAGAACATGAAGAGGTCATTGATGTACAGAGGGTACTCACGTTTCTTAGGTTAGTCATTAAAAGGGCAGAAGTTGTAACGAGGGACTGCAAGGTGTCCTGGATTATCATAAAAAACTTCGTCTCTCAATAAGTTATAGGATTTCAAGCGGTGAATTTTGTTGAAACCAACTCTCAATGTCTTTTTAAACTTACCTATAATTTTCATAGAAAAAAGTGATGATTTAATTCCGTGGTTCTAAATCTCATTTTTATTAAGTGTGATATTCATTTATAGGTTTTGATTCCTTTTAAAGTTCAGTTGGTTTCCTTTTTTAAAAGCAAGGCAAACAACCCTATCGAACAGCAAAGTTAAAAGGTCGCGAAAAACGTGAATGGCTTCTAATTTTAAAATTGGGTTAAATTTATCACAAAAGTGTCAACCATAAATTTTTCTTGAAACTCAAAGCTTGAAGGCCATATATTTTTTCTTTGAATTTCGAAAGTTTAGATTTTTCAGAAAACATTTTTTTTTTCTGTTTACTTGCATTCATTGACTCTTTTTCCAACTGTCTGTTGGCTTTATTTGTTGACTATTTTTTAGTTTGTCATCAAAATTTTTTCTGAAAATCAGGGATAACCCTGTCACAGTAAAAAAACTACCTGGTTGTAAACCTTATTTTTTTATGCTTTAGATACCAACGTCCAGCGATGGTAGACAATTATTTGTACTACGAGTTCGTATACAGAGTACTCATCCAGTCACTCGCTCTTGTCAGACTCATTTGAACTTCACACGGAAATAGCGAAAACAGTGCATTAGATAAGAGCTTTGCCCTTCTCAATATTCTATCTTTCATGTTTCATAAATTGTATCGACGAAAAAAGTGATCCGAAATTGTTCCAAAGAGCTAAAAGATGAACGTTTGCCACGACTCTAGTTTGAAGGAGCGTGAAATCCGAAGGCAGTGATCAGAATTGAAAACTAGACAAGATGTTATTGTGTAATTTTGTAATTGATATGAATTATTTTAATCAGATGCCTAACTTTTCTGTATATTTTAGATTATTTTACTTTAGAATTGGTTAATGAAATAATCTACTTAATCAGGACTTCTTGACTTAAACACATGTCAATCGCTGTTTTCAGTTCATATCAAGAATGCAATATTTTCAAGAGCTACCCAGTAAATGATTTCATTATTTCTAATTTTATTCAATATTTTATTTTATTATGCAGAGACGTCTTAGCGGTGTCTGTTCTTAGAGAATATTGCTGTGCCATTGCTGTATCATTTTACACTGTAAATATTTCTATTTGGTTGAATGGTTTATTGACTTGTGATGTGAAAACCTGATACTTGGGTTACGGTATATCTATTGTACAAAAAATCGGGTAAATTTGTATTGAAAACCGTTTTTATTGAATAACTATTCAAAATGCTTTGAAGGTGCTTAAAATACCGTTTTATCGACCACTAAAATTTTTTACGACCTTTCTTATCACATATCTTTCATATCAACTACACGTGCTTAGTTATCAACTACGGCTTTGATTATGAAGTTTAGTTTAAACGAAATTTGAATTTGATAATAATGAATTGCAATGTTCCAAAATTTACAATTAAAACTGCTGTCTCCTTGAAAGTTTTTTTTTCAAGGGAAAATGTCAATATCTGTTTGTTTCCTTGCAAAAGGGAAGCGCGTGCCTAAAAAAACTCGTTATGTCAACATTTTCCCAAAAGTTTCCAGCAACAGCATTTTGACCTGTTTTCTCAAATATTTGCCTGCGACGAAGAAAATTTGGTCAAAATAGGATCTTTATGGTATTTTGCGAGGACTCAGATTTCAATAATGAGTAAAAATACCTGGGCGTTTTTTTTTCGAAATCTCAGGGGGCACACTGGTCCATTGACTCCTTTCCAACTGTCTGTTGGCTATGTTTTATAACGGTTGATTCAGGTTGACCCTGAATGTAATAGTTCGTTTTTTCCAACCTAGGTCCCAAATATTTGTGCTACTTTTTGTGGCTTTTTTGAGTTAGTAGGCTACATCGGGTATTTTTATATGCTTATTTTGATTAGTAATTGGTTGACACAGTTGATGAGTTTTTAATTCATCAATTGAAACTAAAAGTTTTTTGGTTCAAAGAACAGTACAATTTTAAAAACTGCATTTCAGAAATTTTCCAACTCATTAAATCTTTCAATTTTTTTTGAAATGCATTATTATTCCATAATTTGGTTTTATGCTTTCAAATTTCTCACAAGCAAAAAAATTGGATGTATTTTTTTCTAATTATAATCCAAATATAAACATGCAAAAGTTGTGTGCTACATTTGATGCGACTTTTGCTTCATGGGTTTCATTTCTCGCGGTCTGACATGAGCGGGCTCAATCGAAAGGTCGGCTGTTCGAGGTCCATCATGATCAGTGCTCGTTGCTTGAGGGTGTGGCAACATTACCCAGTCTAGAAAATACTAAAAAAAATGCATGTTAATCTTAACCACGGGTACAACAGCGGTTCTCCGCGAAGAGCTGGATGGCTCGTATGTTGGTCATTTCCATTGTGGGTAAATCGTTTTAATTCTAAACGGTTTGAGAAGTAACAATAGGCATAAAGTTCTTGAGACCACTAACCTGTCATGTGGTTTATAATGTATAAACAATAAAAATGAATGGGGATTAAACATCAGATAAAAACTCCCAAAGCGTCTAGCGTCTGGAAATCAGTCAAATAAATTGTATTTTTAGTAAGCAACTATAAACATAGCTTGATACTTGAGTGTTAATTTGTACGTTTGATTTCTTAAGTAATTTGTAAGAAAATAGGAATCTTATTCCCTTAAAATTAATTTCCGATGGATCTACAGTGCTGATTTAAATTAACCGGACAAAATGCGTTAAATTTGAAACTTAAAATCGCGTTTTTCTCAAATTGGGTTGAGTTTAGGTGAAAACTTATGAAGACAAAACTTGCTTAAAATTTTAGCAGAATTTATATGGTGTAATTTGTTTTGCGAATTTCGAGCCCAAAATTTTACCCCAAAAATGGGTCATTTTGGCTTTTTTAGTTAATCAAAAATTACGCCAAAAATACCCTGTCGATCACAGACATAATTATATCAAAATGAGCCCCTTACGTAGTCCAACAAACTTTAAGAAGGATATATTCTCCAAAACATTGTTTAAGTTAATTTATTTTTATTTGATAGACAAAAAGGTCGTTTTTACTATATAAAATACCAACTTTTTATTTAAAAACAATTTTTGAACGGTTTGCAATTTTTTTCTGGAGAATATACCCTTCTTAAAGTTTGTTGGGCTACGTAAGGGGCTCACTTTGATATAATTATGTCTGTGATCGACAGGGTATTTTTGGCGTAATTTTTGATTAACTAAAAAAGCCAAAATGACCCATTTTTGGGGTAAATTTTGAGGCCCGAATTTCGCAAAACAAATTACAACATAAATTCTGCTAAAATTTTAAGCAAGTTTTGTCTTCATAAGTTTTCACCTAAACTCAACCCAATTTGAGAAAAACGCGTTTTAAATTTCAAGTTTAGCTCGTTTTGTCGGGTTAATTTAAATCAGCACTGTAATTTGAAGGGATGGAGCGTGCGCGATGGATCGAATGTGCGAAAAAAAATTTCAGCCAATCAGAGCTCAGTATTCAAAAATTCACGAAATAAGCGATAAATTCAGTCAGATTTGGCAAATATGCAGGGTGTTGATTGCTTGAGAATTTTCGCATATTCGTTCCTTCGCGCATGAGAATAGCTCCCTTTTTTATAATCTTAATCTAATTTAGATTAATAATTTAGACATGTTCAAGCGAAACTTCAGGGCTGCAAATTACGTGTTTGAATAAAAGAAAATATTTTTTTTTTATAAAATAAAGCTGAGAAATATCCACAGGAATGCCAAGATTAAAAAACAATGACGGATACTTATTATTTTGTGAACTAACTCCCATTCCGCAACTCTCGGATACTTTGAATTATCTGAAGTTTGAATCTCGCAGTAGGCTAGTCGCCTCTGTGTAAGTCGAAGTTCGCAAGTCCTAAAAAACTTGCGAAAGAAATTTACAATCTTTTTGTTTACTCAAGCAGCGCAATGCTAGTCCACTTAATTTTCTACATGAGGTCCGTCATGTTTTATTATATTGCTTGCTGCTTTCCGTTTTGAGTTCGGTTTATGTCCTCGTACTAACATTGGTTTTCATTGGAACATTTCAAATAGTATGAACTATACCCGCTGAGTTGAAACGCATCCATTTCCGCCTCGTATTTATGGGTAAAGGATTCATAAAAGCAGGAATTATTTGGCGTTAGTTGCCTTTAAAATGAATTACTGAGAAAGACTAGGATGTGCGTGTGGGTTTGATCCAATCCAGTTTTCGTGCAGATTTGTTTCAGGGGTTATTTTTGTGTTTCGTCGAGTTTGTTACCTGTGCTTGCGAAGTGCAGCATCGTCTGTTTCATTTCAATTTTTAACGCACAGTGCTTGAATTTTAATTGAGAGCTAGGAATCTGACATATTTAGAAGACATGTGATGAGCTGAAAATAAAAACAGCTGAGAATGAAACTATTTTGGCTGAGACCGAAGAAGTAAAAAGAGTTTTCTTGTTTTAAAGTAAGATACTATAAGAAAACAGAAGAAACTATTGAGATATTGGGGTTTCTAACATTGGTTTATCCCCTTGAAAATCTTGATGCCCTCGGCTCAAAGTTTCAAAGTTTTTTTTTACGTGCACTTTTTTGCGCTTTGTGTTTATCTGTGCTGCTCATCGTGTAACAGCGGCAGTAATTCCAATATTTGGTCCAATAAATATTTTCTAGGCTCAAATTATGTTTTTCAGTAGTAATTTTCTGGAATTGAATTTCTTTCGAGGCATGTCTGTATGATCTGCTATTTTCCCTAATTTTAATGTTTTAGAGCACTTTTAACGATGTCCGAATCCCAACCGGATCTTGTTTGTTTTTCAGTATGAGTGAAATCTATTTTTTTCCTAGAAAAATTGATTTACCGGACTATTGTTTGTCTGCTTATTTTTGTCGGCTCAATTTCCAAAGCTTGGAATTTGTTAATTATTGAAACAATAAACATTTTTGACGATCATAACTCGTCCTGTTTTTTTTCGGATTTCGATTTAAATTTTTTTTCAATTAAAGTAGTTTTGGCTCGTTTTATTGGCCTTGTGAAGTGATTTTTTTCTTTGATTTTTTTAAAAAGTTGTTTATGGCTTTTTTGGTTTGTTTTTGGCTCAATTGGTGTCTATCAACGTGCTGTCGGCGTAGTGGCTTTTCGGTAAATATTAAATTTTTGATTTTAAGCTTGTATTGGCCTTGTGAAGTGATTTTTTCATTGATTTAAAAAAAGTTGTTTATTTTTTTATGTTTGTTTTAGACTCAATGGGCGTCTATCAACGTGCTCACGGCGTTGTGGCCTTTCGGTAAATATTAAATTTTTATTTTAAGCTGGTGTTTTAGTTTCGGCTGTTTCTCTGAAATTGAAATTTATAGTTTTTCCAAAAAAAAGTTGTTTAAAATTTACGTTATCTTTTGTTCAAATCTCCTTTTCTACTCGCTAGCTTGCAATACTGCACTTGCATTGTATCTCAAGTGATGCGAAGCGCTCCGCTTCGTCTGTGTTCAAAAAATTCTAACAATTAAATTTGCCATCGGTACAGTCTACGTTATTAAATGATCAGTTTGCATTAGACTGCATGCGTAGGAAATATGCAATTGCTGTGCTGTGACCTTCTTTCACAAGGAGACTTCTTTTTCCATTTGATTTTTTAGGCATTACAAGACTGCATTAATTCTTGCAACATTAGTTGTACTGTGCTACTTGGCAGAACGCAGACGACCTGCTAAAAGACAGGTCAGGCAGCAGACAAAAATCCGCTTTTAAATTACTTGGTCATTTTTTCAACTCAAAATCTCCTTTGTCATAATCTTCAAATGAACTCTTATTGATAAATTGGATAAGTTAAACCAATATTTTTGAGCAAATAGTTTATAAATTCTGAAGTTTGGATAGTGAATTCATGGTTATCTTTTACGAGACGCAGCCGTATGCACCTTTTGTCTTCAGCACTTTTTTGCACTGACCGACCATCAAGAAATTTAAGTAGTCTGCTTGCAGAACACGGTGTTGTTGTTCTAGGTGATACCAGAATTATAATCATTACATATCTTCACACATCGGTTCGACTACGACTAAGTTAATCAATTTCTTCCTTTTCTACTGTTGTTGTGTAAGAAACTTTTGGACAAAATAAACATCCTCCAACCCCACAAATTGAAGTAAATTTCCTTTTTTGACCCTCTCACTATTCAAATTGGATTGAAATTGGTCGGTACTTGCTGGGTTGAGAATACTCGGCACTCTGGCTGCAAATCCAATTTAGAACTAATTGCAAATTCCTATTTAGAAGCCGCCCCCTTAGTTAAAAGCCGCCCCCTAAACCGCTTTGCAGGGATGCTAACTTGATCCGAACTTTTTTATTGCCTTTTTTTCGTGCAAATTAAGTTGTTTTTGTAAACCATCGAGTGCGGTTCAATATGGAAGCTTTTTTAATTGAGAGTCAAATTGCAAAGATAACTTTCTAAATATGTTTACTCGGTTGTCAAGAAACCAACTTTTGATGTTTGTTTAACTTCCAAGTCATATCAGAGCAAGAGTGAATGAAGTTCAGATATTTTACAGTATTTAATAGAAAGAGACCAAAAAATGAATGTTGAGCAGTATTTGAGGGCTTAGACATGATTTCAGAAAGATAATTCCTATACACCGTTTAATAAGTTTGCCCAATATTTTGAAAAAAAAAAAGAGAAATTAGTGTGTTTTCCCGTTTTTAAATCACGTTATGTAATCAGATCATCAGATCGCAGCAACAGGTTATTCAGAATGTTTTATTTGTGTTCTAGTGGTATTTTGTGGTTTGAAAATAAAGACGGGATTTAAAGCGTACATCACTTGCAAGACAATCTTGAGCTCTAGATTCTGAAGAGTTACGAAGAATTCGAATTTACTTTAAAGCAGGTTACGGGCTCGAGGCAGTATTTTATATCCGCAGCTCGGCTCATTGTAATTCAATATTTGCTTCCTGTCTATATACCTTTCGTGGTAAGTCAAATATTCTGTAACCAGGCTCGCGTTGGGGTCCCTTGGGTGGTAGACAAAACATGTACTTTATTTTGTCTGCCGCTCTGGCATGTAAAATCAAGGAATTCCACGAGTTCAGAATTTTATTGAAGCTTTTATATCTCGCCTATCATTATATTGTTCTACCTGACTGGAAAAGTTGCCACTTTGATTCCTAAAAATAAAGCTAGGGACTATCTACAGCCGCGGCTTTATAGTGATTGTCATGGAACGAAAAGTCCGGAATTGTAGCAACATTTCTTAATGGATTTATTTGCCAAGACACTTTTTATTTTTCCCAGTTTGGGTTCAGTGGCACGGAAATAGAAACTTTTTTCATGACGAGACTTTTTAGCCGATCGACACTAAAATCGAGCATAGTTTTATTCAATGATCTTTTTTCATTACTCACTGACGGTACTGAGGCTTTGCTCAATTTTATTGGATTTCAGGTTCTGGTTAAACACCCGTCGGCGTATAAGTTTTTCGGCTAAGTTATGAATATTCCAGTAGCTGTTTTTAATGAGTCATCGTATCGTGTCTTCCTTTTTTGTATCTGTTACTCGGTAAGAAATAATCCGTTACGAAGGCCAGCTAAGCAAGTGTTGTGTACTTGTGCTGTTTCCCCTTTGTTCTTATTTGAGTTGAATCTATTTTCAGATATAGTTGCTCTCTTTTTTCCTTTGTAATTTCCAACAAACACTATCAAACTGCAAAATGAGGGAAATTGTGCACATCCAAGCCGGTCAGTGTGGAAACCAAATTGGAGCCAAAGTAAGTCGAAATGTTCGTTTTTTTTCGATTTTTTCTTGGATCTCGAAAAAAATTACTGAAAAAAACGTTTGCAGTCGAGGCAACGCAATTTCAACTAAACAAAATCCCAAAAAATTGTATCCTTTTTAAATTCAAAAACAAAATCGTCAAATTTTATTTTTAGTTCTGGGAAGTCATCTCTGACGAACATGGCATTGACCCTACAGGAACCTACCACGGAGACTCTGACTTGCAATTGGAGAGAATAAATGTGTACTTTAATGAAGCTAGCGGAGGAAAATACGTGCCCAGGGCAATCTTGGTGGACTTGGAACCCGGAACCATGGACTCAGTTAGGTCGGGACCCTTCGGACAAATTTTCAGACCCGACAACTTCATCTTCGGTATGCTTCAAGTTTTTAAACATGATTTTCCTATCATGGTATATGTATCATATCAAGTATTAGTGATTAGTATTTCACCACTTTGTCGTGTTGACTGGATTTTAGCAAACAAATGGAACCTGTTATGATCTGTTATTGGTTTCGATTCGAAGTTCTGATGGATAGTTTTTTTATTGTTTGGGACTCAAATTTCCGATATTGCAGGTCAATCTGGTGCTGGCAACAATTGGGCTAAAGGTCACTACACCGAGGGGGCAGAACTAGTAGATTCCGTTTTGGACGTGGTCCGAAAAGAAGCAGAAGGCTGCGACTGTCTCCAAGGGTTCCAGTTGACTCATTCATTGGGAGGTGGTACCGGATCTGGAATGGGAACCCTCCTTATCTCCAAAATCCGAGAGGAGTACCCTGACAGAATCATGAACACTTTCTCAGTTGTACCTTCTCCCAAGGTATCTGACACGGTCGTGGAGCCATACAACGCCACCTTGTCTGTTCATCAGCTGGTTGAGAACACTGATGAGACCTACTGCATTGATAACGAGGCACTCTACGATATCTGTTTCCGCACTTTGAAGTTGACCACTCCAACTTACGGCGATTTAAACCATCTGGTCTCAGCAACTATGTCAGGGGTGACCACATGTCTTCGATTCCCTGGTCAGTTGAACGCGGACTTGAGGAAACTGGCTGTCAACATGGTTCCTTTCCCCCGTCTGCACTTTTTCATGCCTGGGTTCGCGCCTTTGACCTCGCGAGGATCGCAGCAGTACCGAGCATTGACTGTCCCGGAACTGACTCAACAAATGTTTGACGCTAAGAATATGATGGCCGCTTGTGATCCTAGACATGGGCGATACCTAACAGTGGCGGCTATGTTTAGAGGCCGAATGTCTATGAAGGAGGTGGATGAACAGATGTTAAATGTGCAGAATAAGAACAGCAGCTACTTCGTCGAATGGATCCCGAACAACGTTAAGACCGCTGTATGTGACATTCCCCCCAGGGGTCTCAAGATGTCGGCGACCTTTATTGGGAACAGCACCGCAATCCAAGAGCTGTTCAAGCGAATCAGCGAGCAGTTCACTGCTATGTTCAGACGAAAGGCGTTTTTGCATTGGTACACTGGGGAGGGTATGGACGAGATGGAATTCACTGAGGCCGAGAGCAACATGAATGATTTGGTGTCCGAGTACCAACAGTACCAAGACGCCACCGCCGAGGAAGAGGGAGAGTTTGACGAAAACGAGGAGGAAGCTGAAGAAGCGTGAAAAAACTGTGAATTATATTTTCCGGAATGCAATCGAATTAATTTTTAGCGCTCTGCGTGCAGTAACTTGTGCAATATTATTTAGAGTATTTGCCTGATTAAGTAACCAAGTATACATTTCTTTAAATTGCGAAGATAAATTATTGTACATACAGTTTTTCCCATTCCAGTAATACAATGGCTGAGTAAACTATACCCAACCGAAAAGGACCGAGAGTTTTTCGAAGCAAAAGTGCTGAACTGCAAAGCTGCGGAAGCGAATGAAAATAAAACGGAAAATGCGTTAAACTTTTTTCTTGTTAACAACGCTTCTTACATTTTACTGTCACTTATCAAATTACTGAGTGCTGAAATGCGCATGAAAATTAATTTAAATAACCCGTTACAACACCCTATATCAAACTTTGATAATTTTTGTTCGCGTAAGTTAATTACCAGCTCACTGTATTCGTCCTTGTAGCCAAACAGTTTTGGGCCTAATTTGAATAAATGTCTCATAGTAAGTTGTTTAAAAACCGAAGTTGGTATTTTTAACGTGTAGGAGCGTTAAGGAGGCGGCTATAAACGTTTTCCAGCTCAAAGTTTTTATGGGATTGAAGCTTCAAAGGCTTCAATTTCATAACTTGCTTGAACCTATTAGGCATTTCTTTGTGATACCTAAATTTGGATGACAGGACAAGGACAAAGTAGCCCATACGAAAGTATCCCATAACAAAATATCCGATACCAATATATCCCAATGGACACCATAGCCCATGCCAATATAGCCCACGTCAATTAAAATATCCCATAGAGGATTAAAAATTAATTTATGATATAGATTACCAAAAATTGGTGCATATATCTTTATCGCAATTAAAAAGAGGCCCAATTCAACTGCCTCAATTATTTTGAGACGCCATGTAGAGATAGTGCTAAAGGTACAAGACTCTTTTCTAGGGATGAAAGTTCATTTTTCAACCTGTTAATGGAGTCATAATTGAGAAAATTTTGAAAATGAAACACAACGCAAAGATATATCATTACACAAATAGCACCAATACAATGAACACCAATATGGCAGATTTCATCTACGGTAAAACTCAACAAGGCAAAGCGTTACTTATCTTGGACGGACACTTGGAGTTCACTAAAAAGCGATACACCAAATCTACCACTCACTTGCGTTGTGCAAAATGGCATTCCATAAATGACCAATGACTCTTATAACTTGCTACGAAACCATTATTTCGTTCAATGACGAGCACAGCCATAAGTTTAACCCCGGTCACGTAGAAGCAAGGCAGCTAGTTAATCAGTTGAAAAGAAACAGCTAAATCGCAAATCAATCCGTAAGCAACCAGTTGATAGTAGCTAGCCTCAAGATTGTGAACGATAATCCGGCAATTCAGCTTTCACTTCCTTCACGTGCAGCCCTGGCAAGAACCCTCGACAGCAACAAATCGCAAGAACCACTAGAAGTGATTTCATCGAACGACCGTCACTTCGACATTCCCGACAAATTTTTACCTTTTTGTCTACATGATTAGGGAAAAGAAGACAGTGAGCGTTTACTTATTCTCTGGAACATTGAAAACTCAAATGCTCTTCGCGTTCATAGCAAAGTTTGGCTTTATGCTGGAACCTGTAAGATATATCCGTCTCAATTTTATCAATTGTACACAGTACATATCCCGATTGGCGGGTTTTATCCCCCCTGCGTTTACGTTTTGTTTAGCAGCAAAAAAGAGTCCACTTACAACAGGTTTCTTGAAGCCTTGATTAGCCTTATTGGAGTTGTCGTACCCAAAAAATTCTCATTTTCTTCGAATAAGCTGACTTGAATGCATTTTCGTCCTTAAATAAAACTGAAATCAAAGGTTGCTACTTTTATTTATAAAAGATTGGTAGATTTTAAACCTGCGTTGAAATTTTCACGCTTTGGACTGAATTTGATTTTATACGCTTTTTCAATAGTTGGCCTTGCTTCGATCAGTTTGTTCAATTTCGGCAACTTGGTTTTAATTCCTTTGATTATTCTATTGCGATATTTTAATTGTTTCGATTCCTCAGATGGGATATTCTAATTTGCGTGGGCTATTTTGTACTGGGCTATTCTTAATTCTGGTTTATTTTTGACTGAAATAACTTCGCCTGGGATAAGAAGTTGAGAGATGATTTGTCATGAAACCCTAAATTTGAATGGAAAACAGATTTTCCCATGGTTAAAATGAAAATTCAGACATAATTTAACTGATTTTTATAGACTTCTAAATTGACTTAAATCTCGTGACAGATAATAAAAGGAACGCAGCTAGCACAAAAGATTAGAAACGACAGGGCGAACAAATTCCAAGTTCAAACATGTCTCGAGTGTCTAGTTCGCTCAACGTTAAAAATTGAGAAACTCATTTCAGTTTTCCGAAGTAGTTTTTTTTTGAAACCATAACTTCTGACCCACCCAGTGCGTTAGTGTGAAGTCTACGAAGAATAAGAAATTACAAGAACTCTATATAAAACCAATGCTGCTCTTCTGAAAACAATAGCATAAAAAAAGCGCTATAAATTACGAAAACAAACCAAATAGGGTAATATGCCTTAGAAGAAACGGACATCGGTCAGAATATAGACTATAAATACCTTACTGATTCGGAACAAGCTGCTCATTTTTGGTCAAGTTGAAACAAAGAGTTGAAGCGAATCTTTGCATTACTGGCTGTACAGATAAAAAATTGGAATTTTTTGGTTTTAACAAAGACGAAATTAACAATTATGATGAAAATTTAGGCTCGAAAACAGCGCAAGTACCGTGCAAATTAAGCCGACCCATCTTGTGAAGACGCTGATTGAACCGAAACAAATTTTCAATCTGAAAGATTCAAGTAGAAAAAAGAAATTAAAAAATTCTAATTTTAATTTTCTACTGGGTTCGAATCTGACCAAGATCTATTTTTTTTTTCAAGCGGGAAATATTCTGTTAAAAATAACATTGTGGGCCTTTTATTTGTCTGCTGATCGGTTGTTGGCTTAGTTGTCACATTTTGAAATCGTTTTTTTTTAGCTGCACGCATTTTCTTTAATGTTGCTTTTATTGTTAGATTTACTCCTACAATTTGTAATTTTACTTACCTTGACTCTGTTTTTTCTTCCGTGTTTTTTTTTCTTTTTCGCTTAAAATTCCTCGACCCAAATTGTTTCGGCTTATTTGTTATCGGCTCAAAGACCAAGTTTTAGGTCGTTTCAAGGGAAACATCTTAAACACGCTTTTTCAGTTCGCACTTTTCATGTTGGTAGTATGTTTATCAATCGGTTTGCTGAAGTTTGTTTTTTGTTCATAATGAAAAATTATTTCTAAATTCATTTGAAAAACTTAAGTTTTTCTCAGAAACTTCTACTGATTTTCAAAAAGGGGTATCAATAGAAAGACCAAATACTCCTAGAGTTTCTTCTTGCTTGAGCCCTCTGTCTACAGCCTTCGAAAGGGTCGTCTGAGGGGCAATCTTCGACCCACATTTTTTTTTCGATTTCTCGAAAAACACCCCTCTCAAGTCTGAGCTTTTGGTTGAATTTTCAGGTTGTGTTCAATCGGGAAAGCCAGTTTTGTTTTGGGAATATTCTCTGCTGAAGTGGCCACAGACCGCTCTTTGTTGGAACAAGTCATGGATTTTGGAAATCCTTTTGACCGGTCTTTAGAAACTTTTCATTTTTCTTTAACTGAACACGATCAAATCGGAGATGAAAAGTGCAACTGAAAAAACCGGTCGGAATAGTGGTTCCTGCTGAAGCGGCGGCTTCCTAAGAGAAATAATATCTTTTTACGAAAATTGATTTCCTTAATTTTTTTTTACTCTTTCATATTTTAGTGGAGAAATAACTAAGGCTTTGGACAATGTCCATTTTTTGAAATCAAATTTTTCGTGTCGCATTAGTATCGCATATTTATTCAATGTCAAACACAAATTTCCAGCTTTAGATGGGCCCTAGGTGTGCCTTCATTTTGGTTTACCTAGTTTTTTTCAACGTTTTTCTTTCTTTTTTTGACTTTCATTTTTTATGTTTGTGTTGTATCGCAAGTGTTTTAATGTTTTTTTTTTTAAATTTTCTAAACTATGTTTGTTTGTTTTTGCAAGTCTAAATAAGAGCAAAAGTACCAAAAAAAAATTTTTTGAATAAAAGTCGCTGTGGTTCGAGGATTGTACTACCGTCTCAGTACATGATATTTTCCTCTAGTATTCTACTTGATTACTTGTTGCGAATCTTCCAATGCTTATTTTTTGAACAATGGATTCTTGCGACCACTCATGAAGATGTTATTACAAAATCGCGATTGCGAGCGTAGTGTTATAGCATTGGTCTACTTTAATTTTCAACCAAAATTGCAAATAAAGTTACCGGTTGGTTACATTTTTACCAATATCACGATCTGTAGCGTTGCAAATTTCATGGCATCTGTTCTCTGATTTATTGGTGGCTAGTGCTTGCGCATCGTTAAGCTACAGTAAGACAAATGGAAAGACGTGAGATGCTTTATGTACTGGTCGGAACTTCAATGCCGCACTTAGCACTAATTGTATGTATATTTGGTGGCATTATTGCTGCACAGAATTTGCAACTTGTTAGCATATGTAGCTGTTTTAGTGGTGGTTTGTATCAGTAAACATTCAATGGTGCATGGCGATGAGGACGTGAGATTTCCAATATTGAGTTTTTTTATGCAAGGTTTATTTCTATCTTTTCTTAATTCATGTTTTAGAGCTGCTTTTTAACGTTTTATCGCTTGTTTGAGAAGTGCTGTTCCACCACTGTTATATCATGGGATAGATAGGGAATGGAGAAGTTCTTAGTACCCCCATAAAATTGTGTGGATGTTTATATAGCCTTGGCTTGTGAAAAATTTTGCCCCTTCAACATGCGGATCGAATCGCAGTACAATTTGTTTCGTAACAGCCGGAACCACGATCATTAAAAACAATCTCTTCAGGCACAGTCATAGCCAAGGCTTTTATTAAACAGTTTACAAAAGCCAGGATTCATGGGTCAGATAAGCTACTCCGGAAAACCAGACACAAAATAGCCAAGCTCACCCTGTTAGATAACCCCACTTTCTCCCCCCTACAAACCAAACAAGCCATTGCGGACAGCAAACCCTCGCGAGCTCTTGGTCCAGATGGCCTTTGCAACATTCACTTAAAACACTTGGGACCCCTAGCTCTTAAATATTTAACCCTTCTTTAAATATGTCGCTCTCTGAATATTTTATTCCTCAAATGTGGAAAAATTCGAAGATAATCCCCCTACCCAAACCCGAAAAGGACCATAAATTATCCACTTCTTATAGGCCCATCTCGTTTCTCTGCCCCGCTGTTCAAGTTTTAGAAAGGCTCATTCACCCTTTTTAACAAGTATCTCCCTACTGACACACATCCAAATGGTTTTCGTCCTGTCCACTCTACCATTACTGCGCTTTCCACACTAGTATTTTTGACACAGACGGTTTTAATCAAAATCGCCCACACTCCCGCACCGTTCTCGCAACGCTTGACCTTTCGAAGGCTTTTGATATGGTGTATCATCGTATCCTCGTGGAACTAATTCATGACACACCGCTTCCCAGAGGTATTGTTCATTGGCTGAGCAACTGTTTGAATGGCCGACAAGCCAGCACACTTTTTAACAACAAGGAATCCCCCCACAAAATAGTTCTCTGTGGAGTTCCCCAGGGCTCTGTTCTTTCGGCCACTCTTAACTTTTTCGTCCATGACGCTCCCACGCCCCCGATAATGTTCGTCTCACATCTTACGCTGACGATTTCCATCCCTTTTCCCAAAGCCCTGATGTAGAGGAAGCATCTCGATCGTGATAAAGACTTTAACAAAACACCCCGTGTACTTTTAAACAACGAGCCTCTAACTTTTAATAAAAACCCGAAATTTTTAGGGTTTCTTTTGACCCAACCTTATGATTTGCTGCACACGTAAAAGATCCGCTGACAAGGATCAGCGCAGGATAGGTGTCCTCAAAGCGTTGGCAGGATCCTCTTGGGGACAGTCTAAAGAAACCCTCCTCTTAACCTACAAAGCCTTAATATGCCTCATTTTAGATTATGCTTCCCCTGCCTGGTCACATGCCGCCAGCAAAACCTCTATTAATTACCTGCAGGTTACTAAAAATCAAGCTCTGAGTTATTACCGGCTCAAAACTCATGAATTCCACTGCCCACCTGCACAGTGAAGTCGAGATCCTCAATGTTCCAATTCACCACACTCTTTAAACCTCTCAATTTTTTATCTCTTCATACCGCTCTCATCACCTAAAAAATTTCTACCACTCACACCTCCACGTCAAGTTTGAGTTGACAATCGGTTTTAAGCGCTTTTAAAGAAAATACTGACTCCGTTTTAACCAATGTTAACCCTCCACTCAATCTTAATAACCCAGAAGAGGTTTCCACTTTCGTTTTTAACCATCACAAGTCCCTTTTAAATCACAACCACACAAATCTAGTAACCATGTTCCTCGCAGTAACCCCTCCCTCTAAAGTAATTTGTATACCGCCCCCTAAGGTCGAATCCACAGAAAAATCTCTCCTCAGAACTACCCGCTGTAAACTCTCCCAACTCCGGTCTGGTTACAGCCGGCTTTTAAACACATACCTCTCCCGACTAGACAACCAATTTTCCCCACAATGCGCGGACTGTCACCTAGCACTCCACACTAGTTGCCACAATTTTAACTGCCCCAAAAATCCCTCCCCACTCACTCCAGCAGACCTGTGGCTTAGGCCGGTGGAAGTTGCGAAGTTCCTTAGCCTGGTGACGGACGAGCCCAACCCGACCAACGTGGGCTAATGTAAGAAAAAAGAGAGAACCACAATCATAGGAGTTCGTTTTTCTGTTTTTTTGGGCATTTGTTTTTTTACACGTTATTTGTTTTTGACTCTACGAGACCAGGAAGGAACTATGGCATAGGGTTGTTTTTTTACAGATTTTCTACCGTCTAATTGTAATTTCTGCGAATTGGAGTGGATCTATCAAACGCTGTCTAACTTGTCTAATGATAGTTCATTTCGATTTTTCCGCATTATTCAAGACTGAGGTAGCTCATAGGGGGTCTAAATCTAGTGTGTAATGATATTAAAGCCCCATTGGTCGTGATTAATATTCCAAAAAAATATCTCACTGCGAGAAAAACCGTTCTGAACGTTTCCGGTCTAAATTAGACCAAATTTGAGGAGGGACTGACCTCAAAGTTTCAATTACTCCATGGTTTTTTTTCAGCCAATTTTGTCGACCTGAAAAGCACACAGGGAGTTCAGTGTGGCGTTTTTGTAAAATCAGCTCGCTTGTAATTGGGATTCTAGAAGAAATTTCATAAGTTTTTTGTATTGTAAAAAATTGTTCTTATTTAATAGTTGATTCTTCAGATTCTTCACTAAGACCAATTTTTTTATTTCAACTATGAATCTTTTTTATTACTTCAAACCAAATGAATGGTTGACGTTTGATTCATCAACTCGAAAGTTTTTTGTCGAAACATTCAATTTAACTTTTTTGAAAATTGATACTGAAATGCAACGTTTTTTTGCGAAGGTAAGTGTGGTTGGAACCTGCTATGTTAATTGCACCGAAACATGCTAGTCTTCCTTTTTAAAACAGTTTTTCTCTAAAAATATTTAGTTTGTTGTTGCCTCTTGTCTCGGCTTCTGGAAACGAAAACTAGCAATATTTAAAAAGATTTGTCTAGATTACGCGTTATTACTCTGTTTCGATTCCAACTTTCCTCAAAAAGATTTGGAAGTAGCAAATTTTTGTATTTTAAATGGCTGTTTGCAGACATATACAATATTTAAGCTTTCTAAAATCACGAATATAAAAACAAAGATTTTCCTTTTTTTAATGGTCTCATTGGTTTTGTGCTTCCATAGGTTATTTCTAATTGCTTCATATTTGATAACATAGCTCAAGGATTCGTTATGATGGAGCTGCTTTTTGTCGTTTTATCGCTTGTGTTTGCGAAGTACAGTTACTTCTACATCAGTGCGAAAATTTGTTTTCGTTCTGGCGCATTAATCGAGCCTTTTTCATGAACTCAATTCCCGTAACAGCAAAAATTGTAACAAAACTTTTTTGTGCTTTTCTATACCATTCTATCCTAGGTTCCCTTTCGCCCTATGCCAATTTTTTGCTTGATACATATGATAAAGTAATGAAAGAGTTTATCTGACGAAGGAAACGTAGTAAACAATCAATTAAAAGCTTTAATAGTTTTCGATAGTTTTATCAGCGGCGCATTGATCGAATCAGTTCCTGTCGCAATTGTTCGCCTCCCACTGCGTTGGTAGAGTGAACTGACCCATGATAGCAGCTCTCAATGTTCACATGATTGTACTTGACCTCAAGCGCATCCAACATGGACGCCATCAGGTATGAGTCATCTCTCAAAATATCCACTTCACAGCTATACAGTCTGAAATCCGTTTTGTTCAGACGTTGCAACTGGTCTTTTTCATGGAAAATGATGTTGTTTCTGGGATCCAGAAGCATTGATTCCAGTCTCGCTGCACAGTCACTGGACTTGTCCTTTGATGATTTGAAATGACTAGTCACAGGTTGAGGGAAATTCTTCAGTTTGAACTCTTTTGTTTTGAGCAAGTATTTCTCCCACACTTTCTGTGTGAGATGTTCGTTAGTGACCTTGGATTGCATGCATGACGTGTCTCCGAGCAAGTAGAAACTCATGAATCTTGCGAGATCTGTCTGGTCCAAGACGTCTAAAATGAATTGAATTTAGCATCGGTAATAACCCTTGCTATTAACAAGGGTATTGAAATCAGTTATTAGTTTTTTTTCCAAATCACAAATTATTACATTTGCACTCTTGAGTACAATGTTGTTAATGTTAAAAGTTTCATTGCCGCGAGTTTTAAAAGCTATTTTAAAAAACCAAAAAAGGTATTTCTGAGTTGGGGCTAATTGTTCCGACCATTGAAAATGTGGAGGAACTTTGAATTCGGGTGTGTTTTAGTTTTTTTTTTCACGCAAAATCAGGTACCACAAATAATCATTGGACTGGTTTGAGTGATATATCATATTACAGCCCTTTTAGTCGTGATTCGAACCACATCAAAAAATTCCAGTTATTTTCCCAGTGTCAAGTAAAACCGGTTTGAAATTTTTGATTTTTGGTATAATTTCGAACTAATATGGTGTGAGCGTGAGCTTATTTAACCTTTCTTTAAGCCGTGAAAACTTATTTTTACTCAAGTTAAAGTAGTTTTTGGAGTTCTTTAGCGCCATTTTGTAAACAAAGATTTAAAGTTCCATAAATTTCTGCAAAAACTTTGAAACATTTTTTAAATTTAAACTGTGTTCCGAATGCCCTTTTTTTTACTACGACTGTCAAATATGCCTAAGTGCTTTTTTTGGTTCAGATCTCTTATCACACCATGCAGAAAAAAACGACTCTAATTTGAGTTTTTTTTTATTTTGCTAAGACTGTGGTCGGAACATTCTGTGCTACTTGCACTGGCTATCCTTGTTTTGTTATCGATTTACAGTAATTATAGCTTTTAGTTAAATAAACCTTTAATGACAGGTTCTGTGTCTCCAAGTGGTTGAGTGTAAATTTAGCTGGTACAGTTTTCTCGTCTATTATTTTCCTTTGCGATTAGTAAGGGAAGTGTTATCGGGTACCCGAATTTTTCTCGTAAACAATTTTGGTAACATAATGCCTATAATTATAAATGGTAAATAGCGCTGCAGTTTTATTTTGCTATAGTGCTGGCTTAAGTTATCCTGGTAAAACGAGTTAAACTTGAAAATAAAAATGCATTTTTCTCAAATGGTGTTGGTTTTTGCCAAAAAATGATTGTGACAAAGCTTGCCCCACGACCGATCAGTTTTGGCCTTTCTATAGTCAGTCAAAATGGCTCCAAAACCACTGACTCAATTGCTGACAAAACCATATCAAAGTAAGTTTTTTGTGTGGCCCCATGAATTCTAACAACGGCATAATTGTCTCGCATATTTACTATTTATTAAAACAATTTTTAAATGTTTCGCTCATATTTTTAGAGATTGTACCATTTCTTCATTAATTTCGTTGGGCCACACTAGAGGCTCACTTTGATACAGTTTTGGCAGCGGTAGTTATTAAGTATTTTTTACGAAATAGACTTGATTGACTATAAAAAACAAAAAAGAGATTGTGCTCGCTATTTTCAAAGAGATATTGGGCTCGCCTTTTTTGTCAAAATTTTGAATTCTAAGTTTTGTTCGTTTTATCCGGTTTATTTAAATCAGCTTGTATTTCGTTTTATCCGGATTATTTAAACCAGCTTGTATTCGTCTTTTTGATTGCTAGATCTTTCGCGTAATTAATCTTTATATATCTTCTCTTATTGCATCTGAATTGAAGGTTGTTATTTTTGTTTAAAAATTGTCTTTTTTTTAAATTTTGAAAGATTTTTGGTTTCGAGGTCGGGGCAGAAAGGGTTGGCTGAGTTCCCGTACTATAACCATCAATTGATTGGTTTGCTCCGGTTAAATCCTGTAGGTTTCTGTTGTTTCGACCTACAAAGTTCTTCCTCATTTGAAAAATAGGCGGGAACTTTGTATTCGGGTGTGTTTTAGTTTTTTTTTGTTTTCCACTCAAAAACAGGTACCAGAATTATTCACCATAATGGGTCGAGTGATATATCCAAACTCTACCCATGTATGGCTTATCCTTCTATAATAAGCCTGCTCACTTGTTTTAATCCTGCTCGAAATTAGATAAAAACTGAAAAATTTCAAACCGTTTTTTTTCGACACTGGGACAAATTTTAGAATTTTTTTGCGCCGTTCGAATCAGGATTGAAGGTGCTTAATTATGGTATATCACCCAACCATTCCCATGAATATTTGTGGTAAACTTTTTGGCTGAAAAAGAAAATAAGCCTGCTCACTCATCTTATTTGCTCGAAATTAGACCAAAAATCAAAAATTTCCAACAGGTTTTTCTCGAAACTGAGAAAACTTTTATCAATTTATAAGTCGTTCAAATCACAACTGATACTGTTTGAAATTTTTGGTCTAAATTTGGTGAAATATTTGATTGAAAAAGAAAATAAAGCTACTCATTCACCTTATTCGCTCGAAATTAGACCAAAAATTTCAAACAGTATCAGTTGATTTGAGCGACTTATAAATTTAAAAAGTTTTCTCAGTTTCGAGAAAAACCTGTTGAAAATTTTGGTCTAATTTCGAGCGAATTTGAGTTTTTTTATTTTGCTAAGACTGGTCGGAACATTCTGTGCTACTTGCACTGGCTATCCTTGTTTTGTTATCGATTTACAGTAATTATAGCTTTTAGTTAAATAAACCTTTAATGACAGGTTCTGTGTCTACAAGTGGTTGAGTGTAAATTTAGCTGGTACAGTTTTCTCGTCTATTATTTTCCTTTGCGATTAGTAAGGGAAGTGTTATCGGGTACCCGAATTTTTCTCGTAAACAATTTTGGTAACATAATGCCTATAATTATAAATGGTAAATATGCGCTGCAGTTTTATTTTGCTATAGTGCTGGCTTAAGTTATCCTGGTAAAACGAGTTAAACTTGAAAATAAAAATGCATTTTTCTCAAATGGTGTTGGTTTTTGCCAAAAAATGATTGTGACAAAGCTTGCCCCACGACCGATCAGTTTTGGCCTTTCTGTAGTCAGTCAAAATGGCTCCAAAACCACTGACTCAATTGCTGACAAAACCATATCAAAGTAAGTTTTTTGTGTGGCACCATGAATTCTAACAACGGCATAATTGTCTCGCATATTTACTATTTATTAAAACAATTTTTAAATGTTTCGCTCATATTTTTAGAGATTGTACCATTTCTTCATTAATTTCGTTGGGCCACACTAGAGGCTCACTTTGATACAGTTTTGGCAGCGGTAGTTATTAAGTATTTTTTACGAAATAGACTTGATTGACTATAAAAAACAAAAAAAGAGATTGTGCTCGCTATTTTCAAAGAGATATTGGGCTCGCCTTTTTTGTCAAAATTTTGAATTCTAAGTTTTGTTCGTTTTATCCGGTTTATTTAAATCAGCTTGTATTTCGTTTTATCCGGATTATTTAAACCAGCTTGTATTCGTCTTTTTGATTGCTAGATCTTTCGCGTAATTAATCTTAATATATCTTCTCTTATTGCATCTGAATTGAAGGTTGTTATTTTTGTTTAAAAATTGTCTTTTTTTTTAATTTTGAAAGATTTTTGGTTTCGAGGTCGGGGCAGAAAGGGTTGGCTGAGTTCCCGTACTATAACCATCAATTGATTGGTTTGCTCCGGTTAAATCCTGTAGGTTTCTGTTGTTTCGACCTACAAAGTTCTTCCTCATTTGAAAAATAGGCGGGAACTTTGTATTCGGGTGTGTTTTAGTTTTTTTTTGTTTTCCACTCAAAAACAGGTACCAGAATTATTCACCATAATGGGTCGAGTGATATATCCAAACTCGACCCATGTATGGCTTATCCTTCTATAATAAGCCTGCTCACTTGTTTTAATCCTGCTCGAAATTAGATAAAAACTGAAAAATTTCAAACCGTTTTTTTTCGACACTGGGACAAATTTTAGAATTTTTTTGCGCCGTTCGAATCAGGATTGAAGGTGCTTAATTATGGTATATCACCCAACCATTCCCATGAATATTTGTGGTAAACTTTTTGGCTGAAAAAGAAAATAAGCCTGCTCACTCATCTTATTTGCTCGAAATTAGACCAAAAATCAAAAATTTCCAACAGGTTTTTCTCGAAACTGAGAAAACTTTTATCAATTTATAAGTCGTTCAAATCACAACTGATACTGTTTGAAATTTTTGGTCTAAATTTGGTGAAATATTTGATTGAAAAAGAAAATAAAGCTACTCATTCACCTTATTCGCTCGAAATTAGACCAAAAATTTCAAACAGTATCAGTTGATTTGAGCGACTTATAAATTTAAAAAGTTTTCTCAGTTTCGAGAAAAACCTGTTGAAAATTTTGTTCTAATTTCGAGCGAATAAGGTGAATGAGCAGGCTCATTTTCTTTTTCAACCAAAAAATATAACACAAATAATCATGGGAATAGTTGGGTGATACTACCAGAATTCAGCCCTTTGAATCCTGATTTAAACGGCATAAAAAATTCTAAAATTTGTCCCAGCGTCAAGAAAAACTGGTTTGAAATTTTCAGTTTTAATCAAACGTTCGAGCGATTAAAACAAGCGAGCAGTCTTTTTATAGAAGGATAAGCAATGAAGTTTTAAAGAATTTTTTTTGAAGTTTTCTGAGCGCCATGGAAAAAAATCTTCACTACAAAATCAGAACAATTTCTGAAATTAAAAAAATCTAGTCATTTTTTGACAAAAGCGGTTACCTGATATGCCTGTTTTACATTGACTGTCGAATATATCTAAATTTCGGGTTCTGTTCAGATCCTTTGATTACACCACGCACAAAAAAGAAAAAAACATGACAAAATTATGTATTTTTTTCAAGAGTATGGTCGGAACAATCCGTTTTACTCGCACAGCAACCGGCTATCCTTGTTCTTAATGTGTTAGTGCTTTAAATTTTTCGAATTAAATTTGAATCAGTTTTTTGAAAATTTATTCTTGTTTTTTGTCATTTTTGTGACACCTTATACCGCATCTACGTATATTTTTGTATCGCCTCTAAGTATATCTCGACAAAAATTTGGTTTCAGATTTTCGCCTCAATATTTTTGTCAAAATTATCTTTTTGTTTGCAAAAAGGCAGCCATTCTCACAAAAATTAGGTTTATACTTTTTATTATGAGATGTCTCAGAGCTCAACGAGCGTTTTTCCTTTTTATTAAGTTTACTGCTGTTCTCTAACTTCTGTAAATTAATATGAGCATTTGTTAGGGCATTTTGGTTTTTCGGTGTCCATTAGTATTTGGGTGGATTTATCTGACCTGAGGGGTCGATGGAGAACTTTTTTGCGGATGGCATGTCATTTAGGATATAATACCATGGGTAGATAGCGTGCACGGCCTTAAGAGGATACTGCTCCTGCTGAAACGAAAACAAACATATTTATATAAATGGACCTGAGAAATTTTCTTATCCACAGTTATCCGGTAAATAAAATTCAAAATAATCAAACGGTTTGTTTTCAGATTATATCCCCAAATTTTATGGTTTCTTTGTTTTGTGTACATCGGCTCATTGATAATATGCGAGTTGTCATTTGCTGTTTAAGTTATTCGAATAAAATTTTTGATGGTAGTCTAACATTTTTCAGCAGTTCAATGGCCACAAGTGTAGCCAGCATTCCTCCCGCACTGTCCCCAAATATCTGCACATTGTGTTTATCCACTCCCAGCTGGTCACTATGGTCCATGATGTACTTGACCATGGCCACACAATCGTCCACAGCTGTGGGGAACAGGTGTTCAGGTGCGAGTCTGTATCTAATGAAGAACAGCTGACTGTCGGTGCCGTGTTCCAGTCTGTGAATCGGCCCAGCTACCATTTCTGGAAAAAAATCTGACGAATTATTCCAATAAAAGTTAATATGCTGGATGATTATTTAAAAAATTCATAGGCAAATGTAGATAAGACTTTAAAAAGATTTAAGACTTTTTTTTATTAGGCGGCTTTACTGATCTAATTAACCATCTCACCCTTCAAGAAGGAGGAGATTAAGTTAAGTAGATTGATTAAGTTCGAATTTTCGACCAATCAGAATGCAGCAAAATTCGAATTCTCAATACAAGTTCCTGTGCTAATTTATTGTATTTATTTTTAGGGATGGAGATTCTTTAGTAGATACCATAGTGAGGGGGGGGGGGGGAGATTGTTATGTAGATTTACTTCAGATGCGCTATGATTCAAAAACGAAGTTATTCTTCTGTGTTTTTTATTCCTTTTGTATCTCACAGATTGAAATAACCATTTTATCTTCAAGATCCAAGTAAGGTAGTACTTTAGGTTGCTTAAGGTAAGGTTAAGGTGAGCACTTTTTGCCTTCACCATTGAGGTAACTTGACTTTTTTCAGGTACGTTTATCGTCTACTTTTAAGTACTTTCTCAGATACGACACGCCTGTTTAATGTAAAACTTGCCCGGAGAGCCGATGACGTATCCTCCCCCGTGAATATACACTAATGTTGTCGTCGGGTTCTGAACACGTTTGACCCTCTTGAACCGCATCACTTCCACTCCCCCTTGTTTGAACACACTCTCTAGTTCCTGTGGCGGGTCTTTTCCCAAACAGAAGCTGCGTAACATGAAGTGAGGCTTCAGACTGTTTCGAAACGTGGGCCCGTCAACGTTCACGGAGGCCCCCCTCTAAAATGCAAAGTAATTGAATATTAGGGGTGGCATTTACTCCTCCTCCTTTTGATAACATCGATAAGCGATCCACTTTTCTGTTATTTTTTGAGATAAATTTAGTTTTTACTGAACGAATTGTGTTATCATTTAATCAGTTACTGTTAACTTTGTTAAATAATTACCATTTTTTTAATAATTCTGCTGATGGGTAGCATGAAATGGGTGTGAGTCATCGGTAGCTGCAGTCTCTCATCCACAACTGTATGCCGATGGAGCAAATAGGCCACTACAGCCATGACGAGGGCCGAGCAGAAGAACACGCTTCGCATCCAGCTCATCTCTGCAATTATTTTCGAGGCTCCAAATATTCAAATCAAACAATTAGAATCTGAAATTGGGCGTGTCAGAGTAAGTTTATTTGGTTTCGAAGGTCTTATTTACTGACTTAGCGAACTTAAGTATTCATGTTGCTTTTACTAACTGCTGCTTAAAGATGCGAGCCGTCAAATGTACTCATATACGTAAAAGCGCAGTAAAATACAGTGAATATGAATATAAGCTTACTTTTTGTAATTTTAAACTTTTTTAAATCCTTGAACAACGCATTGTATTCACTGCATTTTTTGCACACACGTTTCGGCCGGTTTTGGTCTGTCTGGAATTTTCCGGACTAAAAAGTAGAGTGGGGATTCCTTCCGTTGACGGTTACTCGATGAACGGGCCTTTCCCCGTATTGTGCTGTTATATGGCATCTTCATTTAGCTGACGAGCTCTGATGTTTCAAACGCGCATTGTGCTTGATTGTGTTCCCAAAGAGCAACGCAAGTGATCAGCATTAAATAAAGCGCCCTAGCTAATTTGTTATTTTCGGCGCTTTAATATAGAAATTTGCTCAATGTACAGAAAGAAAGTTATGTTATACCAAGTACAGTCTTTCGGGTGTTTTGAAAGAGCTCAAAAGTTCAATGTGATTGTTCTAGAATAATATGCCAACATTTAATACACTTAAAATCACACCGCAAAAATCCTAGATCTTCCAGTGATAAGTTAGACAAAACCTGGCTCTTTATGGGTGAACAAAGTCTGATGGACAAAATTTGGCAAACTAAAGCACCCCTAATAGGCAAATCACATCGTGTTGGTCTCTGATTTTTTTGTAACAAGCTTGGGGAGCTGGAAGGCGAAGAACTACTCCTCGTTCCAGATTAAAAAGAGTGCAAATCTGATGTATATTCTCGATTGAATTAAATCCAATTTTTATTATTTTACCTTGATTTTTTTGATTTTGTTTTGTTTGAAGAATCAAAAGAATCGATTAATTTACATAAATTTCTGATTCAGCATCCCAAAAAAGAACACAAGTTACCCATATTTCTCTATTCCCAGTCAATTTCTTTAATTATGCAACCCTGGTGCAATTGACGAAAATGATTTTTCAATCATCAGCCCTCGACAATAGTCCTCTCGCCACACCAGATAGCCCCGCATCAATTGGTTTTAATGAAGGCGGTAATATGGCGCATCAATTTGGTTGGAAACTTTTTGATACATAATTGATCCGGGTTGAAAAAAGTGGAAAAATCCAGTTGTCAATATCTCAATTTTCAGAAACCAGAATGGGCAACATTTTATCGCCAATGCAAGCTTCTGGTTTTCTGCGTATCCTTTTTCAGTCCTAGCTCTGCAATTTTTACTAAACGGAAGAATCGATAAGCTAAAGAATTGGTAGATGTAAGAAACACCCTGAGTTAGAACTGGAGTGTATAACTCATAGAGTAATTTCGGATAGGGTACACCGTCTGCTCGTCACGCTATCTTATTTTCGGCCGGATAGATTCGTGCAACTTCTTAGTCTAATACCGATCCTAATCTTACTCTTATACTATCTAGTCTCAGGTTGTTTAACTAGTCTCTGCTAGGCTCAATAGATCTAGGGTATACTGGTTTATTGCGGCTGCTGAAGTGCTCGGGAGAGTCCAACTAATTTCTAAGTTAAATTCAAATCTCTCTGGTGCTGAAATTACAAGTAACTTCAGCACTTACAAATAAGTGGGTTGTTAGTTAGATGGATCATGATTGGTTAATATTAAATACTTTACATTGGTAAAATATCTAATTTATCCAATCATAAAATGTAGTTTAGATCAGGTTCCACCCATCCGGGTTTTACAGAGTTTTTTAGAATAGTTCTTCTGCGATTCGAAGGATGGATGATGGACGTTGGTTTTTGGCGAACATCATTTTCTTCCGTTTCCTCTTTGTTAAAGAAGTTCCAGGAAGCTGGAGTTAGAGACATAAGACGTTGTGTCTTCTAGTGACAACGACTACGTCTTTGCAACAAACTCAAATCTGATTTCAGAATGGTTGGCTATGTCAGGTTTTTCTGTTCTGCGTGGAGAACTTCTTTTGTGTCTGATCTAGTTTGGGAATGGCGTGGAGATTGTGCGTGGAGGGGATGCCTGGTTACTCGGATCTGTACGTATACTTGAACATCGAGGTGGTCATTGGTCTAGTTCAATGAAGTCCTTTTCTGCGAAGTCAAGTCGTACTCTAAATCCTTTGAGTTGTGATTGTGAGTGGCATATCGATTGTGGTTGGCCATTCTCTCTCGAGTGTAGTGGGGTCGTTTTGTCTTTAGATGTTCGTCCTTGGTGTTATATTCTGATCTATGTATTGCATAATGTAATTTACATTTTATAAAACATTTATTAGTTTAATATTTTTTAATTATGATTTTAGTTAGTTGTTTTCACAAAAGCTTTTTGTTTTAGTTCGGTTATTTTGAAGAGTTACTCACCCTTGAGTAGCTCTTATTAAAAATAGAGGTGTGGTCACAAAGCGTGGATGTAGCGCGGTGGGTTAGGCCGGCTATAGAGCATGCTCAGGACGTCCTTCCTGGTGGGTTAGGCCAGGAGTGGGAGTATGATTTCATGCGGTTTTTATGAGGGGTCCTGTTATGTGACAACGTTTTATGTTGGGTTTGTTGTGGTTTTTCTTATGTCTTGTTGGTTATGTCCTTTTTCCAAAAAGCAAATTGTTCGTGGTATGGGTTTGTCTTTCGACTTTTTTGTGTTTTATTATTTCTTTCTTAGACTTTATAATAGTCTTCAAAAGAATAAATTATCCAGTTTTAAACTGGGTTAATCCGGTTTGGGTACCGTTGGTTTCCTTTTCTTAGTCATGCTGTTATTCTATGATTTGTGGTATTTAGTAAGCTGCGTTGGTTAGTTTTGTTTAGTATATGATTCCTTTCCAACCGGGTTAAAGGAAGGTTTGAAACATGTTATTATATGTTAGAGTTGTTGAGTGTGAAAACTTGAAACTGAAATTCATTATTTTAAACAATTCTTCGTGGGCGAGCTGTGCGAGTGTGGATAGAATTTCTGTGCGAATGAATGAGAATATCAAAAGGTTAGTACTGCATTTGCATTTTATTAATTTACTGCATAGAATTTGGAAATTTACTGCTAGTTATGGGGGAATTTTAAGTTACAAATTTTCATCATAATTAGATTTACTGCTTGTGGGGAAAATTTTAGAAATGAATTTACTGCATTGGTATTAAATTTATAAATTTATAAGTGTAAGAGATTAATAGAATTTTTGAAATCTGTTTGATGAAATTTGCTATTTTTATTTGTCTTTTGTGGTTTTTGTAGGTGATTGTCGGATGAAGGCTAAAAATCTAAAGAAAACATGGATAAAGTATGGTGAGTTTTTTAATATTTTAATTAGTTAGTAATATTCATTTAATTCATACTTACCTGTTAGTCGTCGGGGAAAAACCGTGGGGGAAGATGTCGTGGATGAGATCGGAATTTGTTAGTAGTTTAGCTAAGATGCGGATGATATTTTTAGTCTGAAGCAGTGGCCAAAGCAATTGAAGTGCCTTAATAGTGGTTAGTTCTTCAGTGCCAACTGCAAACTCATAAGGTGTGTTTTGGATTAGATTATATAATTTGTGATTGAATTTAGTGTTGTGGATGAATTCTAAAATTGGGATTTCTATAGGTTGTACAAACTCGTGCGGGATAAGGAAGGGTCGGGATTCTTCGGCGTTGAAGGTCTTGGTGATGGGACAGAAGATGTACATTTGGGTTATGGGATCATAATTGCGAAGAATACCATGAAGGTTAGTATCTTTAATGCAATATGTGAAATTTAGGAAAAATGGTGAAGTGTATTTGGAATTAATGAATTGAAAACGATGGTGTGGTTGTCTAGAGGGTGTGTGTAGGTCAAAGTGATTTTGGATGAAGCGATAATAACTATATGTGTGGGTTTGTTTAGTGCGCAACATAATATCGTGTGAGCAGTGTAAATCTCTTTCGTGTGGTGCAAGGAAATGAAAGGTTAGTGAAAATATTTGGAAGCGTTCTTTAAAACTTTCGTATGCTTGTGTGTCTGTTAGTGCTTCTGAAATAATGTGATCAAACTTTCGGTCGAAGATGTTTAGTGTAAATATATATGGTGTCTTGATGAAAAATTTCTCGGTAATTTGTGGATTAGCGAAGCGATCGTCGTCTAAGAATTGATCTTGGTTAGCTCTGATGATGTTGTGATCATAGTATTCGAGTGTATATTCGTTAGCTCTAGGTGCAGTGTGTGTTTTTAGTGATTTTTTATATCCAACGTAAGTAAATTGTCTAGCGGTTAGTGGTGTAGTGAGTCGATATAGCATGTCCGTATTTCGCTCTATATCGATGTGAGTGTTAGATAAAGGTAAGCAAAGAGGGTTAGTAAAATGATAATATGAGGTCCAAGAGAGAGTGGGCATTAAAACGTATTCATCTACAAAGTTGCGTGTTTCGTTAGTGTCGTGGGGGGTGTTTAAGGTGTATTGTGGGAATGAGGGTAAGGTGATGGCTAAAAATTCTTTTGTGTTAGTATGCTTGGGGTGGTTGATGTATTCGCGGGCTGTTCCTGGTTTTGCTGGGAAAGGATGGTTGGGGAACTTTCTTTTAAAAGTGCGGTAAGCTCTATTAGTGTTGAGTGAAGATTCAGTTGATGTGGATGATGGTGCTAATGATTCAGTATAATTTGAAGAGGGTGTAGGGGTAGGGGGGTTGGATGAATTTATTGTGGAGGAGATTTGGTTTATTGTTGGGGTATGGAGGTGGTAGGGTTGTTGTTGAAGGGTAATAAAATTATCTAGCTCTGGGGAGATTCGGGGGGTGTCTGGAGAATGAGATGATTGGTCAGAATGAAATGAGGAGTAGGTTGGGGTAACTTGGGAAGCATAAGAGGGTGTGGAAGTGATTGGGTCAGGGTTATTGGATAATATGGGTTGAAAAGGGGGTTGAGAAAAATTAGAAGAGTTATGAAAATTATTGGATGGGGATGGTTCTGAGTCGGCAAATTCATCGGGGGTTTCAATATTCGGGTTATTGAGTTGTGAGATGGAATATAAAACTGAGATGTGTGAATTAGTGTCGGAATTCATGCCTGATGTTACATTACTAGATGGAAAATCGGGTGGCGGAAAAGCAAAAAGTGGTATTATTGGGATTGGAGAGGTAAGATTGG